ATTAAATTATGTTCAAAATTAACAGAAATATTTTATTTTTAAAATTATTATACTTACTTATGTAGATCAAAATATATCCAGACTATATAAAGTGTTTTTTTTTTTTTTTTTTTTTTTTTATATGAAATACTCTATTTTCATATATGTTAAATAGTATTAATTTTTAATTAGATATATATTGAATAACTTTGTATTAACGCGATGGTACTATTTATTTATATAATTTAACAATGTAATACATATTAACATCAAAAAGATTTACAAATATTTTCTTTTAAATAATTATTATCCATTATTTGTTTTTTCATTATTTTAATCGATTATTTTTCAGTTTAATTGTATATTTAATGAATATTATACTGTATCTTTTAAAAAATTTCTCAATATATTTACTTTAAATTTGTACATGTAATTAGTTTTATAATCAATTGTTAATCAAATTCTTCATTTTTTTTTCATATTGTACTTGTTTTAAATATAAGCTGAATTTTAAAACATTGGAACATTTTTCATAGTTTTGAGGTTTCTCAAATATATGTCACTTGTAAATGTTTAACTTTTTATATAAAAATTTATTTATGACATCTTCCTGCATCATATTAAAATTAATTTTTATGATGTGATTTATTTTGGATTCACAATCCAAGATTTTTATGATTACAAATAAGATGATATTACATGTAATAAAATACATTTGTTCATGTAACTAATTCATTTTAGTTAAATATTCGAAGAGAATAGTTCACGTGGTAAATAAACGAAGACACATAATAGACAAAATAGTTAATGTTACAACTTCCTTTTTTAGTCTGATAATGAACAATTCTAAATGACGATGATCATAGAAGAAATGATTGAACATACATTAATTAAGTTAACAGATGCAATATTAAATTCTAGATTAATATTATACAATTTTACAATGAGCTTCGTATTTCATTTATTTATATTGTGACATGAGAATTACACTAATGGTAGTATTTACAGTTTAACATATTGATATAACAGCTTAGGAACATTATTTTATAATGTAATACTAATTAAAAGCTACTCTTCATAAGAAACAATTAATCTTACAAATTTATATTGTATAGTGAATTTATAACTTTATTAAATATAATAATAGTTAATTTTGTTGATAAATGAAGTAATAATAAATGTTGAGCATTAATATGAAAAATATATAATATTATTAATCATTATTAATTTTTTATAAATTAATGTAAATGTAATATTAATGAAAGAGAAAACAAATATAAGAAATATTGAACGAGTGGTCCATTGAAAGTATAAAGCGACAAATTTTCGTAAGATTTCGTAAGATTGGAAAATCTATTGGCTTTTAACTACACTTATATGAAATCATTAGATTGTATTGAAATTATTAGTAAAAATGGTATTTAAAATATGTAATAAATAATATCTATATTCAAAATATGTACCATGTAGCAGTAAAGCTGATATTTTAACAGACGAAAGAAAGTATGGGTATTTTTTTTTAATAAAGTTATTTTCAGCTAAATAACAGCTCCAAAAATATTACAATTTGTAAAATCATACGTTATAATGATGCAATTTCAAGGTGCAATTCTCAGTTTTGAAGAAGTAAATTAAAAAATTGTATTCACTTTTTATGCATTTCATTCAATACTGTATTAATACTTTTAACTTTCTTTTATTCAATTTTTGATTAATGAAAAATACAAGTTCTATATATATATATATATATAAAATATTGAAAATTTAAGCGTTTTATCTTATGACTTATGTGACATAATATTTGAATAGTTTAGTTAATTATATTGTAATATGCATTGTCATTTTCCGATCCGATATATTTATATGTATATATATATATATATATATATATATATTCGATCTCTCCTCTTTCCTTGATTAACATTTTCATAAAATAATTACATAATTAATGGTTATATATGGTTTAAAGTCTATCAACACTTTCTTTTATTCGAATGATAATTTTATAGATGATAACATTATTTCATATTCATTTGGAATTATTATTAGATAAAATATAAATATGCTTCTTTCGTATGTATACTATTATTGCAGCTGCATATAGCATATACACTGTTTTATATGCTTATAATTAATTAGGATTATTATTATCGACTAAAATTTATAAAATTTTCCTTTGATTTTACTTAAGAAAGTACAATTTATGTTTATATATTGTAATCCAATGTTTTTTCATATGATATCACATTTCCAATGACATCCAGCTCTCTCTTTTATCCATACTCGGTGATCAGCTATATTGTGGTCCACTACATGGCATATAGATACGAAGGTCAATTTTTAATGAATTATGTACTTTTCTGATATAAGAGGGTGAAACGATGACTAGTAGGGTAAGTTTTGGCATCAACAGGATAATAGATAACAAGTTATTTACAAATCCGAAAATTAATGATATTTTACTGTGAAAATAAGTGTGACAAAATTGTCATTGTTAATAGCGTTTTAATGTGCAATAAAAGCCTATACAATTTATGATTTACTAAGAATTTAATCTATTCATTTGTATTACTAATTTTAACGAATGATAAGAAATTTTCATCATAAAATATTTTATATTTAAATTATATTTCTAGTTATTTTTTTTTTTTTTTTTTTTTTTTTTTTTTTTTAATATTTATTCACTGCATGATTTAAATAATCGAAAAAGAACTTACTCATTATACTTTCTTCTACGTTAGAATGAAAATTATTTTTATAATCTTTTAATATTTAAACTGTGCCACTTTGAAACGTGCTTATTTTAATGATATATACATAGTAATCTCAATATACTTTTTATAACAAAGAAAAAATCATTTTTAAGATACAAGAAAAGATAACGTGCCTGTGATACACCGTTAAAAGATCTCTTTAATTATACTTATTTAGTTCGAGTTGACAATGAATCATAATGTCCTGATAGCCTTAGTTTTGTATTTGAAAGTTTATTTTATTATATAATTAATGAACTCATATTAGGATAGATATAAATAACATTAATAAGTTGAAATGAAAGGCATGTGCGAAGATCGTTTATAGCTTTCTTTTTATAAAAAATTTTTTTTTACGTAATAATGAAATATTTGTCAATTACTTAATATAGGCATGAGATTATTATTAAAGTATAGTGATCATAAATATAATTAGATAATATTTGTAATTATCCTATTTTTTTTAATATTGACTGACTTGAGTATATTCAGATAAAGCTCATACTTTATTTGAAAGCCAAAGACAATAATTCGTATATAATAGGCCGTCTGTCAATTAATAGTTAATGAGTAGCAAAGAATAATTAAAATTTTCTCATATAAATTTTCATTATGCTTTGCATAGATATCTCTCTTATTTTTGTTCGCCGCAATTAATTCGTGTAAACTTAATTCGTGTAAGTTTGAACATTTGCGCGCTCATTTCTACTCATGCGCAGCTTCTCTCAGTAGACGAAGAAAAATTATAAATCAATTATTCCATTTGTAATTTAATCATTTTTAATGATCGTCGGTGTATATAATTCATGAAATTATAGAAAACGAAAGCACGTATTACAATACACTTGTTGCTGAAATCTTATGATATTCCGTTATTTAATTTGGACATAATAAAGCAAAAGTCCAGTAATTAATTACGTATTTATTGTTAAATTGTGAAGATTTTGGTGAGCATAGGTCAATTATTGTGTAGGCTGTTTATCGACTGTGACTAATCTTTCGACTTTATCTTCAAAACTCGTCATTGTAAATGCTTACTGCTCAGTATTATGAAGCATATAGATACGTTTATGGCTGGTTGGGTTGACCGGGCGGTGGGGGGTTGTGGTGCAGGGAAGGGAGAGAGGCGTATGGAACTGAGTAGGAGTTGAGTGGAGTGGAGTGTGGAGTCGAACGGAGCCGAGTGCAGCTCGGGCAGATTGGGCTGAGACGGGCGAGTTGCAAGTTATACGCGCGGAGTTGATTCGTGCGTGACGAATACGACAATAACGCGTGCGCGTGTATAACATTAAGAGGTTATGCGCGAGCGCAGGAGTTGCCAGTCAGTTGCGTCTTTGTGTACATTCGGGACGAAGGAGTGTGGACGAGTTTGGAGTAGTTGGGAGTGTTTATTTCAACAACTGGCTGCTTGTCGCGTGCCTTTCGAACGCTTGGCCCAAAATAAAGGAGCTCGGAAAATTCCGTGCTCCGTAATTATAGTGAACTATCTTTTTTTTTCTTTTTTTTTAGTTCAGTGTACGTTTAAACGTTTCATTTTTAGTATCGTAAAATGGCCGCGACTTTAGCCTAACCTCTCTTCATAGACAATTTGAAATCAGCCCTTACTTTCGACAAAATAAATAGAGAAAGAGAGTGTGTAATTGAGAAGAAGAAAGAAAAGTCGTTAAAAAGGGAATGAACGTCAACCCTTAACCTCACTTTCTCTCTCACCCCGTGTACGATAGCCTAGTGTCTACAATCCTCTCCCTTTCTCTGTGTGTTATAACCCAACCTAACTCTTGCACACCCACACGAGCGCGCTAATGTGTTATCATCCATCTCTCTCGGTCAAGTACAAATTGTGCCTCGAGAATATCCATATTATTCATACGTATACACACGCATACGTCGTTGCGCATTGTATATGAACGTGTATGCAACGTCGCAGCCCAGCAAAAGCAATACAACACTACCACCACTTCCACCACCACCACCACCACCACCACCACCACCACCACTACTACCCGTAGCACTACCACTACCACTACCGCCACACTAGCAGTAACAGCAGCAGCAGCAGCAGCAGCAGCAGCAGCAGCAAAGACAAGTATATAAATTGTTTTTCGATTATTAGCAGTGTCGCGTGCTGCTTTGATCGTCTTCGTTGCCGTCGTGCCGTCACTTTCGTCACCGCCGTCGCCACCACCGCCGCCGCCGCCGTCGCCGCGGTTGTCGACGTCGTCGTCGCCCTTGTCGTCGTCGTCGTCGTCGTCGCCGTCGCCGTCGCCGTGGCTGTGGTGTGTGCACATCGAGACAAGACGAAGTGGTGCGTGCTCGCAAAGGAATTCGCTGCGGACGAGGCGACGATCATCCGTTTGTTTTTCCCCCCTCGGCACATACCGCACGAGCACATTCTTTCCTCGCGAGGAAAAAAGAGACGGACTGCGGCGTGCGTTCACGAGTGTGCGTGCGTGCGTGTTTTGAACGTCGCTGCGAGGAGAAAGAATAGCCGAGGAAGAGCCATGAGCGAAGATAGAAGCGACGAGGACTCGATAATGGATCTGTGGTACTCAAATTGGGAGCAGCAGTGCGTGGAGGCAATCGAGGCTGAGCCGGATTACGAGAGTCAGCTACAGGGTGAAAAGGAACTCTACTCACAGCAGATATGGTCAAGTTTTCAGACGACAGCCACCGCCATCGCCCAGCTTTATAAAGGCGAGTTAAATTTCCTCCTACTTTTTCTTGCTCTTTCCTCCTCTTTCTTTTTTGTATGTATTATACTTTATAGATTCGTCGTAATCTAAAACTTTTTCGTCTGTCCGAAGACTGGTGATTTTCTCTTGGCTCGACTATGCTTTCCTATCACAAGTGTTTGGTAATGAGCCGATAGTAGAATGTGATATACTCTGGACTTGGATAATTCCAATGGACTTTCATTATCCTTTGCGTTGCTCTTCCTGTTTTATGATATGGAATTTGCTTATGCCTTTAGAAAATAATACTTCATAAATTAAGTCTCGCAGTTCTTAGTTTTGTCGCAGTGTAACTATGATAATCCAAATGTGCTGCACAGAATTTATTTCAGTCATATTAGGTTAGGTTATCAAGTGTTTTTAATTATGTCTTTTTATAAACTAAGTATATTTGACATTTATATTTGCGGTGATATCATTTATTTGACATTCAGTACTTACTTTCGTTCAATTACTCCAGACTATTTTTATGATTCGTTATAAGGGGCATTTTTAAGATATTTATATAGCCGATCATTTTTATTAAACATTTTTATTTAAAATTATTTTCATTGATAATTAATTATCCATTGTTATACACGAATTACATTATTTTGATGTTTTATTATATATATATATATATATATATATATATATATATATATATGTTTGTGTTGTTAAATCATTCATACTACATAAATGGACAGTTACAGTACTATTTTTATTAGAGGGAATTGTAATATAGACATGTTACATTTAACATGAAGCAGTTTTACTTTAGTTTTAACATTTTAACATTATTATTTTTTTTTTTTCAAGCCATATAGAACTGCATATTTTATAAACTGATAATTACATTGATAATAATTTATTAATTCCATTCCAGTCAGAATAAAATTAAATAAAAATTTCAAAATCAAAACATTACTATCAATATATTGTTCAAGGTGTACATTAGTTGGATAATCATATTACTACTGTTTAGGTTAGGTTAAGATTTTCATTATATATTCTGCATTCTCAAGTTGAATTAAGTTTGTGATTATTAAAGGCATTCACATATTATTATTAATATTTAATTAATTTAATAGATTGAACAGATATTTTCATTATCATTTGAATTTAAATTTTTTCTATTGAAATATTTTTTTTTTTATATCAATTGTATAACAATTATATTATTAATACAAAGTATTAAACAATTGTATAAGATATAAAAAATTTAAACTCGACTGTATAAAGTATTGATGTGTTGGGTACATTATGAATACTATATATATTCTGATTATAAATTACTTTTTCTTCACAGACATTCATTACTTTTTGGTTCTTGAGATATATCTCTTAATAATTGAATCATATATTTTTTACAATAAAATTATCAATTTAATAAAGAAAATAATATTAAAATTGTAACTGAAATTTATAGTTATACTTTATTAAATACCAGATGACCATATATAATTAATACATTCATTACATTCTATCTTTTTACACTGAGAAAATGTTGAAATAAAATAATCTCTTTTTATTTGTTCACATATATTATTAATGATTTCTTTAAATACATTCTTTTAAAATTGAATTCTATATAACCAACTCGATAAGAGAGAAATAACTCCAAATTTTTAGATATTTTAGGAATTTATGTTCTTGGAGTTTCATAAATAAATAGATTAAATTATTATTATATAATTTTCATACTTTTTATAAATTTTAAACCCCATTAAATGTATAATTAAGCTATTTAAATTACTTTTTTATTTTTATTTTTAGCTAGAAATATTATTTTATAAATAATTTATTAATTAATAATCTGCATTAATATATATTTATCTATTTAGTGAATACATTTCAGATCAGGTATATCGTTTTATTTATTGATTTAAAAATTGACTTTTATTTAAACCTTCATCCAAATTTTATAAATTACTGAAAGATTTTTATGCATAAAAATGATATGCATTTATATACATGTTAAATTACTATTATTGAATAATTTATTAATTTTCAAATATAATTGTTGATAACTTTTGTTATGAATAGTCATTGTATAGGTTATAAATATTTTTGTTAACTTTATATATGTATTATTATAAATATAACAAAATATGTATTATGTAAAATTATAGAAGGAAAGACATATTTTTGAAATTTTTTATGTCTTGTTATATTAATAGTTTGTACTTCATATTTACATTGTTCAATATGTATCCGTGATATACCTAAGAAATTGTATGTAAAAATTTATGTTTGAGTTTAATTAATTTTTATATGCAAAGTTAGTTAATATTAGTTATTCATTAAATAAAAAAGAAATTCTTATTTATGTCTGTATGTCTGAAGTAAAAGTATAATGTTATTTATCAAAACTAGATTAGGTTATTTATCTTGTGTATTTTAATTTTTATAGCTTAGTGTCTTCTTTCAGTGTTTAAAATTTTGTATTTATTTAATTTTTCAGACCTTATATTTAATACATTTTAATAAAATTAATACATTGTAAAAGATAAATTTTTTGTTTACATTAAATATCTATTCTATCATTGATAATATTTTATAATTTGTTTAGATTTTTAGTCAATTTGCATTATGTTTATTAATATATATATATATATATATATATATTAACATTTATTTAATAATATATGTTATTAATTTTATTTGGATATAATACTTAGTAAATGAAATATATTTAAATTTATTTATTTAACAATTTTCTTATAAATAAAGTGATAAGTAATAATTACATTTGTTAAGAAAGCAGTATTTACTTGAATTTTAAATTTTAAATTTTTTTTAAAAACTTTTAATTTTAACTTTTTAATTTTATAAGTTTATAGATATGTGTGCGTGCGTGCGTGCGTGCGCGTGTGTGTATACATGTTTGTACAAAATTATAGAAGTAAACTAAGTATTAATTTTTTTATATTGCAGATAGTTAATAGTAAATATGTAGTTATATGAAATATAGTATGTGGTTAGTATTAATATTTAGATAGTTTTTTATATATGTTTATAAGTGTTTTTTATGTTGGCAGCCTGGTTATCATTAGAATAAACACAGAATTGATTATTTATTATATTTTTAAGATAAAATTATATTTGATAAGTTTAATCGTTTTATATTTAAAATTTAATATTAACAAATTTTATTTCTAAATGAATATGATAAATAATAAACTATATTGTTAAATATATTGTAAGTACATTTTAAAATATTTAAAAATATAATTATTCACTTGATAAAGTAAACAATTAATAAAAATGAATTTATTAATTATGAATCGATCATTTTCTTGTGTTAAAATAAATACTTATTTCTGAATAGAAATTAGAATAATTAATATTTATTTGTTGTTAGAATTTTTTACATGATATATTTTGTATCAACAAATCCGGTGTATAACAATTATATTATTATGCAAGTAAGCATAACCTCAATTTGTTGCGGAAGATATGGTGAAGTTGTACCATGATATAAAGTAACATATGCTTATTTTTTTTATAAATTTTTATATTGACTTTAAGTTTTCGTTTTTCAATATAAGTGGAATATTTATAAATAAAAAGTCTATTAGGAGAGACAATTATTGAATATTTTATTTTCAAATAAATATATTATTCGATTGTGAATGAAAGAACTCTTTCTGTTTATGTAGTTATCTTATGCATACAAAGTAAATATTATTTTATTACTTTTACGACGCATTATGAATATATTCAAGTTTTCCAATTGTCATGAATGATTTTACATTAGTAATTGTGTATAATATGCGCACCTAAAATTTTCTCGATAATAATAATCTTGAATTCAATTTTCACTTTATTAATCAATTATTTTATTTAATTTCTGTCATGATCTCATGTATGTAATCCTATATTTGAATTTTATAATCGTCATATTCCAAGCAATACGTATTTAACTGCGGATATGCATACACACGCCCATGCATACATATATGTGTACATATGCATATATATATACACATATATATATAGATATATATATAGTTTCTGCACGCGTGCTCATGCACGCGTGTACGTACGTGGGTAACGTCTATACATTAATGTACATTCGGATACATCACCTACATAAATCCATATAAACATATTCATGCATATGCATTCTGAATACCCGTTGGCGCGCATGCGCGAATACCTACTGTTTCTCATGTTACCAACGTCATTATGCACTATATTAATATTTGAAATAAACTAATACTTTTTCTATGATTTAATATATTTAATCGATAATTTCATTACATTTATTCTTTTAAAAGTGCAAAAATTAGTTTTTATATGTTTACAAAAAGTTCATTAAATTATATTTTCTAAGTCACATTGTTTGAAAAATATTAATTAAATTCTATTTTCTAAGTCATATCGTTTAGAAAATATGTAACGTTAAAGTTGTATTATTTTTTAAATCATTTGATTTCAATTAATTAATTTTATTACTACTTCAGTATTGTAACATATCTTATATTATTACTAACTCGTACATATATATGAATGTGTTCGTTTGAAACTGTTATCTTTTTCCAAAATTCATTATAAGATCAGTGTAAGTTATTTGTCCTCATTTCTATATTGTTGAAATGTTAGATTAATTATTTTAATTGTAATTTAATTTTATAAATTATAATAAATGACGTTTTATACTTTTTTTTTTATTTTTTTTTTTTTATAATAAATTTGAAAATAAACGTTATCCAAGTTTGTGTAAATTGTTAATTTTCATTATTATATTTTACAAGTAAATAATCTTCAAGTTAAATTTACATGTATCTTATTAATTTCCAGTTGAAATTATAGTTTATATTATTACTAATGATTACAGATCTTGTGATTTATTTTTATAATTAATAAATATATTTACAAACATCTTGATAACTGAATTAAAATTTGTAGTTAATATAAAATAGAAATAAACAATTTTGGTGTAAACGAAACTAAGTAAATAATTTTTCAACACAATTATTGTATACATTTAAAATGCAGTAAAATTATATCATAAAGAAAACAAAAAATATAAAATCATTCTTATACACGGATTAATTTTAATATTTGCACTAATTTCAAAGTGTTTGCAATACTGTACGATTCATATATATTTTAATTCTAATTGACTATTCACTATTTCATATCTTAATGTTTTGTATAGTATTTATTGATATTTATATTGTAAAATATTGAAAACTAAGATGATTACTACGAGATTAAGAAGAACAAAGTAGAATGTAAAATGAATCTAGGTGTTTTGCTTACAAAAATTTTGACTTTCTAATTTTTTAAAAAGTAAACGAATTTTAAAGTAATACTTTTATAAATATAGTTAATATGTTTAAGATAGAAAAGTGTATTGATGTTTATTATATTTTTAAAATAAATATCTGTAACTGGCATATTAATTTGGCTATAATATTAAATTAGTGATAAAATGTGAAAATTATAGATGCCTTATAGGAAATCGATTATTTTATAAATTTTTAAATTAATTTTCACGTGCATGAATACAATTCACAAAAATTCAAAATAAAGATGATAGATCAACATAATATCGATAAATCACTTGAGAATAGTCATTCTTCATATTAGCAAATCACAATGAATGCTAGAATGATAGAAGTAAACGAAAATCATACTCGGGGTTCATAGCTCTTTGCCTCTCTGTTTCGAGGATCGCCTCTGGCTCATCTCATTCCGATCGTTCGCTTCGTCGTCCTGAACAAGCATTGTTGTTTGCTTTCTTTATTTTGTCCACACTCGTATGGTCGGAGCTGCGTCACATACGCCAGTGTTAGCCTATCTCTTTCTTACTCTTATCTTCCTTCCCTCTTCTTTACCATCGCTCATTCGAACACAGGCACAAATACATGCACACACGCACGCACGCACGCACGCACGCACGCATGCACGCACGCACTCCGCACGCACTCCGCACGCACGCCGCACGCACGCACACTGTCTTGTACACAAAATATCTCACTCTTGTGAACGAGAACGAGAGGAGAGTTGCAGCAAACAGCAGTCGCGGCGTCAGCGTGTATTTTCTCTCGCGTGTTGCCATTTTGCTCGACATCCATTTTCTCGAACAAAACTCTGGCAGGCAAAGCACCTCTGCATAGAGATTTTAAAAAGAGAAAGAGTCTATTCGGTATTGATATTTTCATTGACGGTGTTCGGTTCGCTTCTTTCTGCCATTTTTATCTTATTATTACATATTTTTTTTCATTAATCTATCATAATATATTGATAGTTCCGGTAAGACCTAATTGTTTAGGCTTTTTATACTTTATGCCAGTCTCGAGGCACTATAATCGACAGTTAACTCGCAAAATTTGTATTCGTTATTATGGATTTATTTATTTTATCTATTATCTTGATAAATATGATGTAAAAGCATTATATAGTTTGAAATACAAGTTATTAACGTAATCTTTGACGTAAATTATTTAAGGAAGTACAGAAGGCGAAATTCGTTTTATCGATAAATTTTTTAAACAACTTATTGATCACACGTACTATGATATGAAAGTATAGGTGCAATTTTCATTTGTTTCATTATACCGAAATTAATACTGAACTTATAATTTCACGTTTACAAATATTTCGAAAATTTTTAATATAAATATGAATATCATATTTATATTTTAGAACAATTAATAAACAGCAATAATTTCATTTTATAACAAATTTCTTTAAAACAAATTCACCCCTACTTGATTATTAATGCAAAAGTATGCAAAAATTATAATTCTACTCTAAGAATGATGGTATTCAGAATTACTAGAATAATTAATTGATTTTGAAGATGATGAAGAACACACACATCTAATTATCATATAGGGGAAGTTAATATCTTAAAACATTATTCGTTCTTCCATATATATTGTATTTATACTGTCTATAGATATATATTGTCAGTTGTAATCATCAAAATTACTTTTTGTTGATACTTGTTACTTCCTTATTTAGGGTATTGCTATATATGAGTATCCTTTTAAAAATTGTTATAAAATATTTTTAACAATTCGTTTTATAAAATTTTAGCAATATTTGAAATATTGTATTTGTTATATATTTATGTTAATTTAATGGTTATTTTTATAATTTTTTTTTTATGTATTTTATTTATTTTTATTTATTTTTATAATTTTTCATAATTACGTTCTGGAGGTTAAAAATAGTTTATTTATTATAATTTTGACAATTATTTAATAATTTTCTTGTTTGTTTTATAATTAATGCATATTATGAAATTTCTTATATCAATATATTTAAACACTTGTTCTAAAGTTGTATAATAACTAATATAAACATAAATATATAAATCTATTGTATTATATTTATTATTGTGTAACCTATTTTACTACAATTATTATGAATATAAAATATATTGATATAAATATATAATTAAAAATTAATATTAATATTTAAACAGATATTTTATACATAATTTTTAAATATATATATAAATTATATAATCTGTAAATTGATTCATAGGCGATCTAGATTTCATTTCAATAAATGCAAATCTTAGATACAGAAGTGGTCAATTCATATAAAAGTATTAGTTCTGCTAATTAATTTTCAAACTTAATCTACTAATCAAAAGCAAATTCGAAACATTATTTATGAATAGTTACGCAGATTAAGTTTTATTAAATTACAAACACATATTTACAAAATATAATTAAATATTGTCGTAGATATATTTTAGAATGTATTAATATGATAATAATTTTTTAAAAAAAATCTAACTTCACTACATATACTTTTAATAGATTAAATAAGTTAATTTAATTGCAAAAATAATTAGAAGAGTCTATACGCTCTAAATACACAAAGTATACTTTATCGATTCTGAATAAACCATTTTATTTCAAGTATTATAAAATTTTTTCATGTCTTTCTTTGTTGTAATTATATATGTCAAGATTAATGTTATGGAAAATATATATATATATATATATATATATATATATATATATAATATACAAATTTTTTGTATTCGATAATATTTATTTTACATCTATTATTAAAATATTAATAAATATTTTTTAATTTTATTTATATTACAATAGTGTCTATAGTTTCATATACTGAAACGCGCCTTTTTTAGTTATGCTTGGCTGCTATCGGTTAAAGCCATCCATCACCTATTAATCCTAGGACAAGAGAGGCTAGTTTTATTACGCATATAAAATTCATTAGTATAGTCTGTATGGATATTGGGAAATATTGGATTTTTTGAAAATATGGATAATTATACAATGTAATGGATATGATAAAATCTATGTATTTCGATCGCAAGCTTTAGTTATTTAATAGTCTCTTCAAAATTATTGGAAATCTGTGTTGCTAGCAAATTATAAAATTTTGTTGCAAAATGTATATTTGAATTTCGGATATCTATGCTTCTCGAATTCAAAATTTCGATCAATAAGTTTTTATAATATGGTTCATTATAACGTACCAACTGTCATAATTACTCTGTAATTTTGCATAGTTTATTTTAATTATCATAAACAATAATTATCATTACGATATATACCAACAAATGCAATATAAAATACAAATCAATATTTTTAAATAAAGAATATTATTTAATGAAGATTTCATTTTATTGATGTAATAATGTTTTATTAAAGCCAATCAAATCTTTGTAAAATACCTACAGCATTTTACGTAACGCAGAGAACCATAAAAATTAATTCTGTCAAATAATTATTTATTAATTTCATGTTTCGAAAAATAATATATGTATGTTTACTGATCTAACATAAATAATGTTATAGAAAAGTTAAGATTGAATTTTTGCAGCCCTTCTCTTGTATTTAAAGTGTAGAAAAAAGGCAAAATAATAGCTGAAATTGTGATTGTCGAAAACGATTAACTTAGAACAATGAAGCTTTGTTAAACTAAGAACAATTATTCGACTACATTATGGATTGGAGCCTGCTCTGCCAAAATTCAACTTAGCCTCTCGTTTGACTCTTAAACAATATTCTTGTAACCTATTATAATTAAAAAATGAAAAATATCATTTCGTATTTATCTTTTTAATGAATTGTTATTTATCGGCTTATATCTAATCTCCACTCTGGTTTTGATTTTACAGATCGCTCACAGGGCACATCCTTTTGGTCGCCTTTCCAAACGGCTGCAGGCACGGTCACCTCCTTGTTCAAAGGTGCGTATTATATGCCAGGGCAATGTGCGGATATAGAAAAATGCGCGCGCGCACCTTCCTTTCATCTATGGTGGAGGCGAAATACTCGAGAGTCTACAGATCACCTGCTCCTCCTAGTTTCTCTTACTTATGCTTTTTTATACCTGCCTCTTTCTACAATAGCTGCAGCCTCCGTTTTGACTATTTTCGAGATTTTGTCTGCTGTATCTGTACTCTTCTTCTCTCTCAACTTTTTCATTCTGTTATACTTCCTCATTTCTACTTCTAATCAGTCCTTCACTTTAAGTTTTCTTTTATGCTGGAGAAGCGTTTGTATTTTAATTAAACGTGACATTTTTTTTATCAATCCAAGTATTCATTCTTTCTTTTTTAATGAACCTCTATTCGAAAATAATGTTTAATAGATGTATTTTTACATATTGGGATAATGATAAAACTAATGTAATTTTTTGTAAACATTTATTCAATCTACATACAAGTTTCTTATATTGTCTATTACTATGTCATATATGGTAATGAGACGTATAAACAAACATCTAGAATATCTTTATATTTAGCCGTAATATTTTATTATAACATTTTACATAATTGAATTTTTATTAATAGGGTGTACCATAAATCGTTTTTCGAATTATCAATGCAATAGTATATAACTTAAATTACATAGGGTCTGACTTAAATCATACTACTTCATATTAGTTTTTGAAACAGAAAGTTCATAATTTAAAGAAACTAATACTTTAATGATAAGAATTTTCCGAATGTGATTTTTTAAATGTATAAATTAGTATCAGAGTGACATAGTTGAATTTTATTTTATTTTACTTATTAACTCTTTCAAGGTCATTGGTATTTCACAGGGCAACCTTCCCCCTTCACATACAAAATGCTTAACAGCACATAAGTATGGATCATGCAGACATTGGAATTTACAATTAAAAAAAAAAAAAAAAAAAAAATGTAAATAGCTTACAATATAATCAATTGCTTTTGAAACAGTAGCGATATTGTTTTTTCAAGTAATGTTAAGGCATTGTATATTTTGAAATCCTTTAGTCTTCTCTGAGTAAGAGAACAGTCAATGGAGTATAGCGAAACAGCCTCGGTTCTGCAGACATCCCAAGAGATTTCAAGATTCCAACACCCTACCCTTTTTTCCCTTTCTCCCAAGTACTTTGCCTCTGCCTCCCTCCTCCCTTCACTTCCCCCCGTTCGCCCTTGCCCCTCTCCTTTGTTTGTAGTATAAAAATAGAAGTCCGTAAAATTGCACGTGTTAAACTGGCAAAGCAAAGGAAAACAATGACTGTATTTAGCTAATAACTTATAAATAAAGATTTCCAATCCCGATATGGTTATTTTATTTTAAATTGCATTTGAGATTATGAGAATATTAATGCTTATTGTAATAGATTAATATAATTTGTTTTTATTGAAGCATTCATTCAATTGCATTTAACCTGAGAGTGTTTAGAGTGAATTTCTAACTTTATATTTCATCAGGGTCGACGTTTAATTTAATTTTTTTATATTTAATGCCGTGACTTTATATTAGCCTTGTGGATTTAAAAATATAGTAATATGCCTTCAACTGTACGATTGAATATATGTACGTATATATATATATATATATATTTATGTGTGAATATATATATATATATATATATATATATATATGTGCGTGTGCGTGCGTGTGTGTGTAATGATAAAGTATGAAACGTTACGGATTTCCGCTATGCAATTGAATAATATTCTAATACGTAATTGAAAGTAACTTAACTATATAAAACAGCCGAAGTTTTCCTATAACATGAAATGTGGATTTTCTACATTGGTTTTTTTACGCGTCGTTGTCGTATTATACGCGTCCCTTAATGTCTGTCACAAGATGTGTTGGTGTTTACTCATACCGAGGCATTTGCACGCGCATGCGATACGCCAACAGCTGACCTTCGGAGCCGGTCAGCTGTTTAAGAGGCTCGCCGCCCAACACTTTGAATTCGCTTTTTGTCTACACCCACGTCGCTCCTTTTACATCTTTTTTCTGCGCATTTTTGACAATTTCATTAGAACTTTGTCGTTTTTAAATGTTGCTTATAGCGCGTAAAGGAATTTTATTGCATTATACGAGAATTTAATAGCTCAAATTTTTTTATAAAAGTCTTCAGTAAAAAATTAATATTCATCCTTTAAATGCTTAGTTAATTTTAGCGATTAAGAATTTTTTTCTTTTATTTGGTCACAATCAATTGATGATGTGACTTTGATAAGTAATTTAACAATTTAATCACAGATTTATTTACTAATGTACACTTGGTTTTATTTTTTATGTTAATACTTAGAAAAATTTCTTTTCTATCTTTATTTGTACTTAATTATTAACAATTATAAAAATAAAATATAATGATTAACAAGAAACGAATTAATAAATATTATAATTTAAAAAATGCTGATTTTAGAATTCTCGAATTATATTGTTAGGTTAACCTTGAACTTTTACAACTTATCTCAAAAAAAAACTTTATAATTAAATTTAACTTACACGTGAGTAATTAGTCGTATATTTATGTAATATTTAAAAATTAATGTGCATCTAAATGTACATTCTCCTAGTCTTTATATTAAACAAATTTTTAATTTTATTTACTAATTATTTTTTTTTATCCATCCACGATAATTGGAATTATAAGAATAGCTCATTAACTGAAAAATGATTAAATTAAGGAATTTCAATATCATGTGAGATATAGTCGAATGTTATATTAGAATTAACGTTTATTCGCGCTCCATATTTATTGTTAAAAGAATTTCTATTCTATATGGTTGTGCTTACATTTTTTAACAATAAATACGTGCTTAGTTTTCATTCGTACTTACCATCTTTTATAATCGATATGGGAATGATGTAAGTAATTTCTTCCGATGCCATATATTTTACTCTTAGTTTATTAACTCAACTATCGACAATCTACAAGAACTGATATTTCCATCAAAATAATTAATCATTCTGATCTTAAGTTTATAATTTTTTTTTTCTTCACATTTATTTCATTCAATAATTGATAACAATATGAATAATCTATATGTATATTATATAATTTTATTATATGCATAAGTTCTTCTTAAATTATTCTCTTATAAGCACAAGTCGATTAGCGATTTTTTTTATACGAATTTATGCATTTTACAAAAAAAAAAAAAAAAAAAAAAAAAAAAAAAAACAGATTAGTGAATTAAGTACTACAGATTAGTGAAATTAATAAATATGTCGTATCAACAACACATTAGCCTAACGTATCGCAATTGAAAGGTAGGCTACATACCTTCACATTCATATCTTAGGTTCAATAGCGAATTGAAAGAAACGAACACTTGAAAGAACAAGAGCATCTGATAATTATTATTATTTTGAATGAAATAATCGCAATATATTAAATACTATAATCAAAAGCATTAATATTATGAGAGATATTCTTTCAATCGTTAATAAAAGTTAATGTTGTAATAAAGTGAAAAAATATTACACTGTATAATGCATTCGATTTGCAGAGTCTGCCAATGGAATTCGACGATGTGGTGAATTAGGCGTAGAAGCCGGAAAGCAGAAACGCAGTAAAGAATTAATGAACTGGGCGAGGAAAAAAAGACGTATGATACGTCGGGAAGACTTATTGGCATATCTCGCTGGAAAACCACCGCCGCCCAGACCACATTCGCACAGGTAATCCAAAATTATATCTACTTAAAAAAATACGTAAATAACGATAAGATTATTTTTAAGATATATAAATTGTATTTAAGAAGATATTATATTTTTTCATGTTAACTAAAACCTCATAAAAATTGGATTAGTTTTTTAGTTTTCGATAATAATTCTTTGATTGTATTGATAAATCGATAATACAAAGGAAAGATGATAAGCTATCAGTAATCTGTTTATATAAAAACTGTTCTCTTCAATAATACTTTACTTTTATTGTTATAATTGTTTATTTATTAATGCTGTAGTATTTTGCTATATTTTGTTTATAACTATTCAATCATTCATTTCATACACGCAACCTAATGTAAGAATACATTTCCGTTCTATTCCTATATTCAGTAGTATATATAATAATATCTATCATTGTATCAAGTTTAAAATAAATATTATAATACTTGGAGAAATGCCATTGGAAAAGTGTCTCCTCGAGTAGTCCACAACGAACAGCACAATTAAGAGAAAAAAAACAAAACTTTGTTTTATCGGCACTTGACTTCCGATAATCTCTTAATCAAATTGAATTTCCATGAGAAAATGAGTTATTGCCAATTGTATCTTATTTTGATAATTTGCATTAGAGGAGAAAGAGGTCATACATAATTAACTTACTTTAACATTTAAAATTATTAAAAATAATTCGGAAGAAAATTTTTAATTCGTTTTAACATTATAAATAATAATTAATAAAAATGTATAACACATAAACAATATATCTTATAAGTTAATGTAAAAGTTATTGAACAGAAAAAAAATTTCACATTCATACTATTTTAATATAATTTAAATAACACTAATCACGAAGTATAGGTATAATGATTTTAATAAAATTAATAAATAAATACTTGGCATATTAGAATTATGCGAATTTGCGAATGGGGAGAGTTGCCAATGCGTAGTCTATTATTTCACAAATTCATAAACATTCAACACAATATACTTCAATATAATATTCAATGTAAAAATTAATAATTTGCTTTATTGCATTCAAATTCAATAGGTTATGTGTAAAAATGTGTATATCGAAGTGCGAAATTGTGATTATAAAGTAAATTTCTAATTTAATTTTTATTAATAACGATAAAGCTGAATTTGTATAAATGTATAAACTGTTAGTAACATTAAGTAAATAAACTTAATAATTTTTTCTTTAATAAGTAATGACTTCTAAGTCCGTGTTTACGAATAATCTTCCTTATTGTAAATAATTGAATTGTTCATTATTTATTAAATTATTCATTATTAATATTTGTAATATTAATTATTGCGCGAATTTCATTAAATCAGTATTTCTTAATATATTGTGTAGTTAAAACAATTTTATGATTAAATTAACAAAATTAATTAAAGTTTCAGAGATTGTTTAAAGATTGATATAAATTTAAGAATATCTTACGACAAAATATGAAATATGGTTAATATGGTTTCGTTATTTTAACAAAGTCATGTACAAGTGCAATAATTATCGAAGACTATTTACTTCCTTACTTATATTGTTATTTGTATTATTTATATATTTATTTAAATGGAGAAAGAGTTGGAATATAAAATTATCAATTCCATATTTTGCTATTGATTCTTACCGAACGTGAACGGAATTCCCGATATTGTTTATGATACTATACAATATTCTTTTTCATCTCATTTAATCGAATAAAATTTAAAAGTTAAATACTAGAGCTTTGCCTGAATAATTAGTACAATCAAATAAATAACAGTTAAACGAATATATATGTGTATACGAAACTAGTGAAAATCTAAAAATATTCGAGCAAAATGTCTATTGAACAAAATGTCTAGTAGTGAATAATACTAAATGCTAAAATAACGTGATTATTTAGAGGCGACGTAACATACACTAAAATATAACGTCACACATAGTATTCAGTCTGTGATATATATATATATATATATATATATACACAAGTATCTTTCACAGTATTAGGCTTGAAAGCTTTAACTTATCATATGTGGTATCTCAATACAATATTACAGATTTTATTTTCCATTTCTTTTTGACGCATCGTCTTAATAGAGAAACTTATACAATTTTCAGGAGTTCTCCTAAACCCCGTATGACAGTATGCGGATCTCCCCCTTCACAGAGCCCAACAGCAAGTATGGTTGTGTCTTCAACACCGCCACCTGGCAGTGAACCAGATCCAGAACTACACACATTTCGGGAAGCCATCGCCCTTTCGGGTAAATTTTTTAAAACTATTTTAAAGAGATTTTAATAAAAATTCCGAATCATGATGCAAAATGCCTTTAATTTCAAGATTCGTATAGTTTCTTTTATAATCAACATTAGGTTACGTACGCACATATTCAGTTATTTTTCTTGTAAGACAGTCTTATATTTAAATGTGTTCATAGTTGTAAATAATAGTCAAAATTTAGGATAAAGCATTGTTATGTCAATATGCTTTATCTGTCGCTTTAAAGCAAATTGAATCAGTATTTATTTATTAAAAAAAATTTCATTTTAATCATGTGTCTAATATAGACACAGACATGCTCACACATGCACCCATACGCCAATGTTCGCGCGAATATACGCCCGCGCGCGCAAATACATGTAAGCATTATCTGTTTGTGTATGTGTAGCGTATTTATAAATTCAATATATTTCAAATATATTTTATAAGTTTTAGACTTTTGCAATTATTTTCATTAAAAATAAGCTTATATATAAAAGTTTATAATTTATCACTTAACATTTTACTGTTGTCATAACTGTTGATATGGCTTATAAAATAAAAAGAAAATATACGTTTCTGATTGAAATATTTAAATAACTTTTTTTAAATAAAAATTAAAGTATTTCTATTATAACGAAAGTTATATATATACATTTTTGTTAATTTAAAATAAAAAGAATTTTTATGCTATTAAGTTATTCATTCATTGAGTATCTTTATTTTAAAAATGTGAATTAACATCTGAAGTTTTTCAATATATCAGAAATATAACTTTTATCATTTTTGACTCTATGTAATTAAAATAGTCATTATAGCTCAGATAAGCTATTAATCAATAAATTTTAGAAAATATTAGACAATTATAAAAACATATAATTATTAAAAATTCTATATTGTTACTTATTTTAATATTTAGAAATAAATATTAAGTAATCCATCACAAATAAATATACATCCTTGATACTAAGTCAAATAGACTTTGATTAATTCAACGAGTCTTTTTTACATTTTATGAAGAATCGTATATTATTATTATGTAATTACACGAAATGACATTAAAGTTAAATTAATGTATGCAAAAAAGATTTGCATGCCATAAAAGTTAAAGCCTTTTTCATCAAAATTTTTTCTACTGTTAATAATAAATAATTTTGTTCATTTAAAATTGTTATATATTTGATTGTTAATTAATATTTAAATCAAGTAGTTTGATTTTATTAAATTAAAAAAATGCGCCAATTGAAATAATAATTTCCATAGTAGTATGTAGTAATATAAAATCAAGTTATGTAATATTTAATATTCGATCGTATTTCCATACGTATTCTTCTAATATTTCCACTTCTTTTTTAATTCGTATTAACGATTATACCATTGGTCATGTTAATTTCAGTCTTGACGTTAAACTAAGTTAAACGGTCTTTTGAGTTTAATACTTTGCCAATCCTGCTTTCATTAATCCATAAATTACTTTGTCGATGATATAACGAACTACAACTACTACAATGAAACGTAAGTGTTAGGAAGATTGTCCTATTAAAGTAAAATCTACCAAATAAATAATACAATGTTAATACATAATTTCATCAGAACATAAATATTTATTGATTAGTACGTATATTTTACATAAGAAATATTGAAAATAAAAACAAATATTAGAATACTACCGTGAATTCCAGGCTCACCGATGTCACGGCGTACCGGACGACAGACCGAGCTCTCGGCCTTCATCAGTAGCGAATTCGCCCGGCATCACAAGCGACCAGCGTCCCACGACGTCGATATGGGTTCACCCACACATAAGCGAACGCGCTTCATGTAACAGTGCGCGAAGTGTTGTATGAAAGCAGTCACCAATCGTACGAGCTCATTACTCTCCTTTTTTTTGTTCCCTGTATCGATTAATTAATACGACAAATTTATTCGTCATAATAATTTTTCCGAACTTCACCCATGAAGAAGTCGAATATATACAAGAAAAGAAAACACAAAAAGAAAGAGTCCTTGTTTACGTGCGTGAGAGAATGGGAAAATGATTGCGTACACGTATGCGAAAGTAAGAGTAGGAGAGTGCAAATGAACGAGTGCGCGTATGCATGCGCGTGTGTCCATGTGTCTTCGCGCGCGCGTACGCGCGCGTGTGTGTGTGTGCGTGTGTGCGTGTGTGTGTGTGTGTGGTGCGAAAGAGAGAGAGAGAGAGAGAGAGAGAGAGATTGGGAGAGAAATAGAGAGAGAGAGAGAGAGAGAGCGAGAGAGAGAGCGAGCGAGAGAGAGAGAAGAGAGCATGTTCGATCGACGGCTCGCCGCTTCGGCATTTCTTGCATTATTTTGATGTACTCTTGCTCGAGCTTTTTGCCGTTGACGGGACGACTAAGCTACCAAAGAAACTCTAAATGGATCTCCGAATTAAGGAACATGTGATCAGCAGGCACTGGGGCACCTTTTGTTACTTTGGATTATGAGTTTGTTAATACAGTTGTGATTAATTGCTTTGTTTTAAGCAATAAATTAAAAGTGACACTGAGTAGATCTTTTTACTAGTAAAGTTAGATGACTTCAATAAAATTTCAAAATTCTTCTATATTCCATATGTAAATATATATAATTATGTGTTATTTCTGTAATTTAATTTGTACCATTTGATATATATATATATATCATATTCGATTGAGTGTATAACCAAAATATCGTTGAATTTCGATGTTAGAGGCATGAAAATTCTATGAGTAGCTATACGTCATTAGCTATTCTTATAAAATAATTATTGTTAATGATATGTTTCATTCTAAGCGTCTATTTGAAAATAATGAAAGGTGTCCACGTTTGCGATCAACCACCTAGCGGCGTTCGAAAATAGTCCATTGGGAGGTACGGGCTTGTTGCGCGTTTGCTGTATTACATTACTGCCCGATGATTTGTATTTTATATATTTGTGGCTTCCTTACATTAAGTAACGAAGGGAAAAAGTGACGTTTGTATTGTATAATCTTCGGGCAGTTTATTCAACCAACGCGCGAATGACTCGTTTCCATACGTTTATCAGTGCAATCGCTCATATGAACGATGAATCATGAGCGTGACTGTTTTCTCCCTTCTTCCTCTCTTTGTAAAGTGCTCGAAAGGCGTGAATGCAAAGGCGTCGTTTCGGATGTACTCGAATACCACTCAAAGTGCCGATAACAAAACGGATATTCGTGGTTGTGTCATAGACGAGAATTTCGTAAGCGATCTTAGATCCGCAATGCGACTAATTTTTTTAGTGATTCCGCCTTGGCAGTGCAGCGACAAGCTGGTTCTTTTTTTTTTTTTTTATTTTTAAATGAATCCTTGGCCTGTTCAAAGTGCCAGTCGGGAGAATTTAGAATATTTTTTACTGGGAAGGTTTATTAAAAATAATTACCTGGAAATCTTTATTTCTGTCTGATTATGATTCTTCCTTCGAATATTCGGGTTCAAGTAAATTTTGAATCTTTAATTATGTAGCTTTCGAAAATATTTTTAATGCTCAATCAGGCTTGGCATTAAAATTATTCTCTTAAGAAGTGACTAAAATAAAGCCATGAATGCTCCCTTTATTGAAAAATCGATTGCTCTTAAATGTCCATATTTTATTTATTTAATTAATGAAAGTTTTTTTAATTTGCACAGAAATTAAAATTTGTTAAATTATAAATTAAACCGGATTACACCGTAATACATATTGTTAACGATAATTACAATTTATAATAATATTATTACATAATTAATGCATAATTAATTCATAAAGATTTTTTTAATTACATTATATTAATAAAGGTATTGATTTTTATAAAATTTATCAATAAAAGATTTAATGGTAAATTAAAGTAAAAATAAATTTTTACATTCGTGTTAAATTCTTTCCATACTGTTCGGCTAATCTCAAGACCACAGAGATCATTATTGTGCATTGAGAGTACAACACTAGGCAAGGAAGTGATAATTTTAGTATTTAGAATATTTTTTTACATTATGCTTAATGATTTGTTGCAAGTTTTACGTGGTGTGTGGCGTGCGATAGGTATGTGACAATTTGTCGTATATGTGAGCACGATTGTATAAGGAATTTTCATGGCTTTAAACTAAAAACAAACTAAGAAAGAGAATTAAAAATATATGAATCGCTGCCCTTGTTTATAGTAATTTTTGTTACTCTTTACTTATTTGATTATAATGGAATTGTTATTTCGATGTCTTTATACATAAAAGTAATAAAGTTGTTTTTAAAAGCTATTGTTGCCAAGGAACAACATAAAACCAATATTTAGGGATAAAAAAAGTGAAGAGAGGATTATTTTAAAAGGGATGGCAGTCATGAATGGGAACTTCTCAATATTATACAATAAAATTTATTATTATATTTGTGAATATGTACTTAACGTTATTATTTAATTTTTTAAAATTCACAGTAAACTTCTAAATTTTATAAAAGCAATTTTAATTTATAAATTAACTTAGACATTAATATAAAATTATAGTTTATACAACAAATATTCACAATATTTACTGATAAATATTGAGTTGCTATCTACTTTATATATTATTTTTAAATTTCATAAAGAGATATTTTACATTTATAATATTTTACAAATTTTAGAAGTTGTCTTTTTGTTGAATAGTCGCATAGTCACAATGTTGATTAAAAATTGATCCATTCCTAAAGCTAATGGAGAGGGGTACAATGACTGTCCGTACCATTTAATTAGCTTATACTCAAAAACACAAAGTTTTGTTTATATATCCATATTTCTATATTATATGTGAATAAATGCGAATGAACATACAAACATAAAGGAATGCCCATACGCATATACGGGCGCGTGTGCGTGCGCACACGCACCCGCTCACGTATCACGCAATTGTAGCATAATTAAATGAACATTGTAAATGACGTACAATAAAAGCCCGGTTAAAAGATGTTGAAATGCTTTTTTCATATCAACTCGCGTTACATGTGCAATTTTTTTTAAGAATTGAGGGGAAACGTGAGAAAACGAGTAGCTGTGCTTTTGGTAAAATTGACATAAACAAGGGCAAGTCGTACTGACCAAATACACAGCCGAATTAGATTTAGTTTATTCTTTCGTTTCCTCTATATCGTTATATACGACACGCTGAGCAGAAAATCATTTTGATGATTCTCCAGGTGAGTCGTTTCGAATGCGAAAAGTATCTACACAGTAAACGATATACTAACTATAAGGCACGATTGCTTCTCTTTTTGCAGTAAATCGACCATGTAATTATGTACATGATTAAAAAAGATGTATGAACATATTTTCCTTTCGTCGATACATATATTATTATAAATATTATGATATACATAACAATGAGTCGATAATGTGAGGTAATTGAGAGTCGAAATAAATAGTGAGATTTTCTTTTTTTAAGAGTGTTGTTGACTTTTCGAAAATCAGATCGAGGATTCATTTTAATTTTTTCATCGCGTTGAAAAAAAATTTAAAAATTAATGCTTTATAAAGAAGGTAAACGTATTTTCTTCAGTCTTTACACAAGAAAAAAATGCAATTTATTATAGTATGTGAAAATAAAAGAAACTGTTTAATATATATGTATATATATATATATATATATATATATATATATATATATATATATATATATATATATAAATTAAAAACAGGGTTCACAATTAACTTTTACATAAGAAAATTTGAATTCTTCAATCATTGTCATTGTAATTTCCGCATAATTGGATCATGAGCTATTAGTCTTATTCCGCAGATTATGTACATGCGCACGGCTAACATCACAAACACAAGTAGAGAAAGAATTAGTGCAATCGAGTTCACTCGATTTTCATATTTAAAATTTACGAAAAAAGTAATCAATATAAAAGATGAATTATTAATTGTAGAAAGCATTTTATAAACGTTTTACAATATAAAGTAGAACCTGATTTATTTTCACAATAACTGAAATAATACTTTTATGTTTTATAATTAAATATAATGTAAGAAAAAAAATGTATTTATTTCTTAAATTAAAACTATTCCATTTTAAATAAAATAAATAAGGCCCTTATTATATAATAACAATATAATATATAAATGTTTTTTTACAATTAACGGTTCAAATTATATATTTTGAGACAGACATGAAAAAATTGGAAATGACAATGTTTTTCTAATAGCCCATGATAACAGATGTATCTATTTGTCGTGGAAGTCAACATCCTTTTTGTTTTGTTGCTATTTTACGCAACGTTACAAATTCGTTGCAATCAATTGCAGCAAAACAGATATGGGCAGCTTTATTCTTGCTTTGAAATCGACACTTTTTAATAGAATTTTTAATTAAAGTGACCTGCAATATATATGTATATATGTACGTATGTATACGTGTGTGTGTTTGCCTATATATATATATATATATATATATATATATATATATATATATAGAGAGAGAGAGAGAGAGAGAGAGAGAGAGAGAGAAAGAGTTAAATGTGTTCAAATTTTTAATTTGCTGATAAAACGAAGTATCAGTTTTGCATCGAATTTTGAAAAAAAATTTTTTGACATCAAATAACAATTGTATAAAGCACATGATATATTATTTATTTGCTACTTTTGTTAATTTTTTTGAAATTGATATATTACGTATGCAAGTAAAGTCTCCTTTTCACAGTAACGAAAGGTGCCTTAATCTATCGAGGATAGACACGCTAGTGATTAAAAAAGACTTTAATTTAATTCCCTATAACACTTTATTTGTAGTTTATGTTTTTGTAATATTTTATTATTGTATGAATAATTTATCTAGTACTAAATTGTAAAAAAAGAAATATAAAATAAATAACTAACAAATGTAATGAAATTTTTGACAATTATTATTTCTATTTATTCATGATTTTATACTGTTAATTACAATTTAGTGTATAGATCATAAAATTAATTTAATAAGTATAAAAAAATTTTCAAAAATGATTGATTATTAAATTGTATGATTGGTTATGTAAAATCGCTTGCGTGCCTATTCACGTACTCTCATACATTGAATTTTTCAGCGAAAACGTGAAATAAAATCAATTATATTCAGTAATTGGTTCTATTATGTCTGTACGTATAAATGAGCGTGAGTGATTGTGCGTGCGTGCGCGCGCGCGCGCGCGCTTTTGTGTGCATATAAATACACACATCCATGAGCGGGTGTATCATTAAGAAATTTTTATTTAGATAAGTGCATTATAAATATGAAACAAAACGTAATAATAGAATAAAAACTAGCTTTATTCAACTCTTGGATCGTCGAGATGATGGATCGTTGAGTTTCTGTTTATTATGTTGTTCTTGAAAACTGAATGCAATTGTTGAAGGCGAGTAAGAATTGTTGTTTAGTTGTAAGTATAGTTTACTACACTAATAATATAAAATGAATAATTTTAGGAAATAATCCTAATATTGATATGTTTAATATCGATATATAAATATTTGATAGCTTTAATTATATTTATCGAATGGTCAGAGATACAAAATGGAAAATGAATAATCGGCCCCCTCCGGCTGGCTACATTGGAACAAGGAAACACATATTAATCCCTATTTCAGTGACTGACCACTACATTTTAAATTAAAAATTCTGTAATTAATCTTTTATTCTTCGGTATTATTATTTAGTGGAATATGTAGATACCGAAGTTGCCATATTTAGGATTTACACGTCTTAGGAAAAAGTGACTGAATTCATTAAAGTCAATTATCACTTGTTTTATATGTTCGTATAGAGAAAAACTTTTACAAAATTGTGAATTATCCTAATTATGGTAGTTATAGATCTTTTGTTTCATTAATTTTTCTAATTTTTTTTTATAAATTAAAGTGATGGTCTTGGATATAATAGTAAGAATCATAATGTTATGAATGTCTCGATTTAATTTACTTTCTGAAAAGATAATGACTTAATTGTAGCTTGTTGTTAATTATATTAGCCCACTAATTTACAATTATTATCTTTTGCCACTGTAAATGAAGTATATTATTTACCAAAAATAAGTAAAAAGAAGAAGCTTAATAATATTTTTATTCCTGGCGAGGTTTTAAAATTTAAATATTAAGATTTGAAGTATGTTTACTCATTTTTGTATAGCGACAAATCCAAAATTAGTATATTTTATCATTTTTGAGTGCGTCGATTTTAAACACAAAAATTTTACGAATTACTAATGTTTTTTAAAGATAAGTTTATCAAACTTATAATATGAAAAATGTATTAAATTATCGGAAAATACTATGGAAAAACTTAATTTATGTGACATCTCGTTCATCAATTTACTATGAAACAGAAATCATATAAATGATAAATTGTTGTTTAAATGCAAATATTATTTTAATTATATTCTAGTTGAAGAAACTGAAGAGTATGTTGAGATGTAAGTAACCATGAAATATGTAAAAAAAAGAAAAAAAAAAAAAAAAAAAAAAAAAAAAAAAAAAAAGAAAAGAAATGTATTTTTCGATAATTTTTTTTATAAACTCTGGAATTTTTTACGATAATGTTTGTTTTTCTTATTTATTGATTTTAAATCTGATTTATTATGAAAATCAGAAAGTTACCACGTTTGAATCAAGCGATTAATTTTTGTTATTATTATTATTTTATTTTTAAACTTCGCTGGTTCGACTTCGTTTATTCGATCGAGTCATGATTCAATCATCTTGTTTCTTAAAGCGACGATGTAAAGTGACTTTAATATGACTATGCATAGACACGTTTAACATCAAGATTATGGTTTTTTAAAGTGATCGTATTAGTGGTTATATCAAGAAATTAATTGAAATTAATACTTTCTGCAAATTAACTGTATTCATCTGTGCATCGTTACAATGTTCAACAATATAGAGCTGTATGAAATTTACAATATTTTTTGATTTAAGTTAAAAATAGGCATTTTATTAAATGTATTTGTGTAAATAAATATTTTTGAAAAGTCTACTATTAGTTATCTTATTTAACAAAAAGAAATTGTGTTATTTTATTAAGTAAATTGTACAGTGTTTGAGTTATAATAGTTATTAAAAAGCGATAAATAAAATAATAAAATAATTATTTTAATATTATAGTTTATTTAATTTAAATTTGTGTATGTATTTTTAAAATTTTATATAGACTTCTCGATAGTTTGTTAAGCATGAGCCTTTAAATATATTTTTGTTCTAATACCTTCAACCACAAAATGTAATGCATTTGTGCTATTTTTAGCAAATTTCATAGTTAAACAAGTAACTAAAGTTTATTAAATACCGTTACTTAATAATAAAAATACCATTAATCAATTTTGATTTTCAAGTTAATAAATATATATTCAAAAGAGATTTTCGAATAATTATTTAGAGTACAATCCAAATATCAAATATTTGTGGTAACAATAATTAAAAACCATTTATTTCATGTAATATAAAATGAAAAATTTCCATTCTTTTTATTTAAAGTAGTCAATAATTATATTCTACAATAAAATCTAATTGAACTAGTATTTTCTTGATCTTTCTTCTCTTTTATTTATACCTTATTGTTTATTTAATGATTTATAATTTACGCGAATAATAATTAACTGTTGCTTATTTTATTATTTACATAACCTTTTACTGTTATATTTCATGTAGGAAGTGATTAAGGAAGAGAAGTAATACCATAAAAATATTAGAAACTCGTCACAATGGTATTACTTTAGGATAAATTTTTAATGTACACATAAAAATTGTGAAGATCACGTCAGTGAATATAAGTTAAAATTTTTTTAATTTATATGGCTAAGTTTTTAATTTTTAAAACAAATGTAAAATTAATGCAAAATTTATGCATAACGCAAAATATTTTCAATAAATATTATTGTATAGGATTAGAAAAAAACTTATTTTATACTTATGTAATGAGTATGTTCCTCGTTTAGACAAACATTTAACGAGTTAATTACATGGGTAAGACTTTTTATTTATAGTTATTAGAAATTGAATAATTAATAAATGTTTTCGTACTGTTGGAATATAAATATAAGTAAATTAGTTAATCTCATATCATCAATAATAGAGGTAACACACTAAAAATAAGAATATAATTATTTTTTTTTTTTTATAAAATTAATTTAATAATAAAATAGATATTTACAGTTTCTTCTGCGCTGAGAGTCGCTTATTATTTTGATAATTTAGGTTAAAAATGTAATTCTATAGGATCGATTTACTATATTTGATTTATTATTTGTAGACAGTTTTTGTTGCGCTAAATATTGTATAAATTATTACAAAAATCTAAGAATTTAAAATTTTTAAAATAATATTTAACAATAATGTTATTCTCAGTGAAGTGTTATTAAACTTTTTAAATTATTTAATGTAGTTATACTATATAGTAAGTACAACAAAGTTCTATGTACAGATATTTCATAAAATAAAAACTGAAATATAGAAATTTTAAATATAGAAATATTATTATTACTATTATTTCACCAAGGCTGTTGAATAAAACTTATTTAATCACAATTTATATAGATAAACATTCACAAAAATGAGTAATTTTTTATTTCATCTATAATATATTCATTTTTGTTTTTTTAGTTCGTATAAAAAATTAAATCGTTCAGGAAACTCATCATAATTATAACACATTGATGGATGTATATATATATATATATATATATATATATATATATATAATTTCAATGTACAATTTCATGTACAATCTATATAAATATACACATACGCATATATTATTTTATAGCTAAATATTTGTAAAATCATATTAAGTAAATATTTATTTCGTTATTTTACTAAATGTAAATATCATAAGTTCAATCATGTTTATTTGCATTAAATGTATATTAAAAATAATTATAATAAATATTTATTTAATACTATGTTAACAAACGTTTACTGGCATAAACTAAATTTGATGTACGAACAAATGTCATTGAGAGGAAGAGATAATCTAATGTTTTGATGTAATTGTTAAATTGTATAACTACTTATAATCCTTATAGTTATACAGAGTTATACACGCCTGTATTTTCTTTAAGCGTATCAGCATTTTATCGACTTCTTCATACAATCGTAATATGCGGATATTCAGACCAAATGATACTTTTGACTCCCTTGGTTGTCGCTAATAAGCGTTGCTAAGGCACGAAGGTCCATTGAGTCCAGAATCTATAGAAGTCCAGAATTAATTACCCGAGTAATTTTATGAAGGAATTGTCTATTGAAAATCGCTGGTACTCGCCATTCCACTAGTATTCTGAATACAACGGATTGAATGCTCGCGTCTCATAATTTAATGTCCTTTATTATGGCTTCCTGCGTTTCCAGAGCCTTCTTTCGACTGGCGATCGCGTGCAATAGTTTTCTTCTAGGGCCTAGGGGCAGTTTTAACGCGGCGATATCGGATTCGGTGAGAAGCATCAGAGCTTCAAGGTCAATTTGCTCAGCCTCGAGACTCGAGTGGATGGATGAAAGATTGTTGGCAACCAAGAACCGCTGCAGCGGCGTCCACTCTTCGTCCATTTCTTCCTCTTCTGAAAAATGATCAATGAAGTTTTGTTAGTCGCAGCAACGACTTTTGTATTATGAATAATAAATTCTTTTTGTAATTATTTCTGCATTATGTAAGCAGAGGAGTTTATAAATGTTTTTCAGTTAAGCGATTGTTCTCTTTAATCCAATGTTTACTTATGATTCGTGATAGAAAAGATATCGCTAGGTATATTGTTTCGCATGATTCCAAGTAAGTAAAAGTAACCTTCTTCTGGGTTACAAAATTTTAATACATCATTTAAAATAATCAACTATGATAAACATTTATTTTGCAAGACTGCGTTTTAATAATACAGATTTACATTTTAAACATTAAAAATTTATCATCGCTTCTATTTTCGATTATCGATTACTGTGATTATCGATCTAATTAACGAGTCATAGGTAATTGGCAAGGTACCATTGCACGATAATTTAAAGCACGTTATTTCTAATAAATCATTTAAACATTTAAATTATAAATTTAACACATTTCACAAATTATAAACAATTTAAAAATAAAGAAAAAACCGAGGTAACTGTCGTGGATAATCATTTGATTTGTAAATAAATTTGATGAATGTTATTTTATCTTCATTAAATTTATGAACAATTAAGATTCGGAAACGTCAATAAAGAAATGCTTATTCGTCAGGTATGCGAGCAGGAGATAAAAAAATAGAAAGGTCCTCTGTCGATTGGCTGTCCAACATATCAGAATTAATAAGTTAAACAAAAAGGAAGAAGGAAGAACGCGAGCGAGCAAAGCACAACAAAGCCCCAATGTAATCGGAAGCGTCACGTGCTGTCAATCTGGATCGTATGTGGTAGTAGTCGCGAGTGGATGAACAATAGCGGGCCCTAGAATTTTCGAGAGCCGGGGCCCTGCGTGAGTATCGTCGCGTGAAAAAAGGAAGTAAAGAGATAAATAAATAGGAAGCCCCTGTCCGGTCTTTAGAAATGGCGTTTCTCTCGACACGTTACCGGAAAGCAAGTCATCGTCCCACATGCTCTGCCTGCGCGCCAGGCTTCCGGCGCTGCCAATGCTGATCTCCTCGTTATGGCCGTTGCTGGCGCCGTTCCCGAGGCCGTTCCTCTGCTGCTCGGCTCCGGCCGTCGACGAACTGTTGGACGAGCCGTTTGTGCCTTGATAGATGAGCTCCCCACTCGGCTGTCGATGGATCTCCACTTGAGTCACTGGTAGGTTATCCAGGGCCGCTGCCATCTGAAACATTCGCGACTCTTAAGAATGTTGTCAGGTCGTTAAGGACACACCCAAGCTGATGCTTTTGCGCGGCTCCCGTAATATCTGGTTAAATAAGACTGATGTGACAATCTTTTTAGCTATTCAGCAACTTTCTGAATAATCAACATGGAGCCTTGGCTTTTATAGATTTAACGACACCCTAGCACGCTCATTACGGCCACGTTTAAGGATATATTTTAAGGATTCTTTCGAGGAACTTTTGAGCGATTATATATCTCATTATAGAGGAGTGATTTTTTAATCAATAAAGGAATATCTTCCCAGTGATATAGTCGGTAGAGATGGTAGGGTGGATAAGTTTAAAAATTTTACACTCTTTGTTTCAAAACATAGATGGTGCGTCATATGAGTAAAGAAATTTTTGCGGAATTATATTATCATATGTTCAGAAATAAGCGTTGAATATTATTCGTAACTGTGTAGAAAATATTGTTATACATTTATCTTATCTTGGTATTGAATATTTTTTTCTTCAATTCATTAGAATTCGCATTTTTTATACTTGCCAATTGTATTATTCATGGTTTTAAATTTGAAATCGTGTACTGAATTTCATGTAAATCATGTACTGAAATTTTACATTATAATTTTCATTAAACTATAAATTTTCTATAAATTGAGCTAATAGAAAATTTTGATTAACATTTTTATAATGCGAGCTGTCGTTAGCTTACTCAAGCGTGTCAAATGTACACATAGTACCCATTGATTTTTTAAATAATTTACAATGGCTTTATACTTTTACTTTATAAGTAAATTATAATGTCATATACATGCTGCAAAATGTAAATTTTGTCGAGGTTATAATAGAGAATATATTAAATATAAAGGATAAAAAAATAGTAATAAACATTCATGATAAAAATATTTCCAAAGTATTGTACTATCGAAGAATATCAGAGAACATGTTAAGATAGACATTTAATATTCGTCGTGTAAGGGAAATTGCTAAACAGGTTTCATTAAATATTATATAAATATATTTTATCATTGATCCGTCGTATTTATATTACTGAATATATATATATATCATTTGCAATTATCGGAATTCGTATGTGTAGGTTTACGAGGTAAGCTTTACCAGTCTATTTGCAGCTTTCGGAAAAGAAAGAAAAAATCATAAACATGCAGATATATCCATTAATATTTCATAGTAACGTATAAGTATCCAAATTTCTTTTTTTTTTTATTTTCAACACTTAAATAAATTAGATTATATTTAAATTATACTTTCTTCTGTTCTAGCTTTGAAAATATCGGCTGCTGAAGATTTAATTATAACGAAGAACAAGAGTTTATGGAAGAACGAATAATGATATTTTATTCGTTTGTATATTAAGTTCATTTCAAATAGTTTATAAAATTGATCGATTTAGAATATTTATGAAAATAAAAAACATCTCATTGTAAATATGAGTCCTTCTTTCTTTGTGACTATGTATTCTCTCAATCTCTCCCTCCGACCCTCGCTCATATAAAAAGAATTTGAATAAATGTAATTATATGATAATATAATTATCAATTCAAGGTATCATTAAAGTATTTTATTTGTATATTTGATTATTGTTTGAATATTAATATAAATCGATCTTATATTAATTAATTATTATATATTTGCGTTTATGGTAAATCGTTTCGGCATAAAAATATGAATGTTTGTTAGCCGTAAATATTATTTATATTGAAGAACGAGCAATCGCGCAATAATTCTAATGTTTAATAACCAACTCGTCCACATAACTTACAGATCTCCTGAATGCGACGGAGCCGAAACCTGGACGATTAAAAATACTGGCGGGCTCCTGGAGTTGGAGCGCCGTTTCGCGGCGCTGTCGCTGCTCAACCACACTCGAGCTGCCATCCTTCTCTTCGTCCTCGGGATCTTCATCCTCGTCATCGTCGTTTTCCTCCTCTTCCTCGAGACATCGATCGCCGAGGAGATCCGGCGTACTACGTGCTTTGTTCAGCGTACCCCAGACGTCCGAGATCTTACCACGTCGTAATAGCATCGGCTGCTGTTGGCTGTGGCTATGAAATCCGGGTTTCAGGTTGGAGCCGAAAGACGAGTTCCCGTCGTACGTACCAACGTACATGATCTCGGAATCTCTTCGTAAACCCGTTAAGCTGCGTACTGATTTTTTACCATCCACTTCGATCTGTAGAAATCGTTTTGATGCTCGAATAATGAAAGGATTTTTTTTTTACAATACTTATTGGATACTAAAAATAAAAATACCGACGATTTATGATAATTGTAGAAATATCTTGGAATACGCTTTTTTAATAATCAAATGAGGTGAAAATTTATTTAAAAAAATCTTTGTATGCTTATACTTTATAGATATATATTCTTCAATACTACTTAAACATAAATTTTTGTAATTTGTGAAAGGTTTTTTTTATTAAAATACAAGAATACAGAAATGTTGCTGAAATTTATCTTTTTTGCGTTATTTATATGTTTTAAAATTTTAAATAGTGTATGTCGAATAGTATGCATGATATTGCTTTAAAAGAAAATTAAGGACATTATTTTAATTAAAAAATTGTATTACCATCGCGACTAAGTTGGTAATTAATATACAAGTATTTCCTGAATAATTAACTAATTGCTATAATTAAATAATAGATTAAATTTGAAGTTATATATATATATATATGCATGTATTCTTAGCACGATTGGCTAATAATAAATATTATCAGTTAATCATAGTATAGTTAAGTATAATATATATATATATATATATATATATATATATATATATTATATATTACAATTTGCTAAAATTCATAATTACTAATGAATGTTTACTTTTGGATTATATCATTTATGTAGTTGTTCTATAAATTTTGGATAGTTGTTATATAAAAAATTGGATTCATTATTTATATAGAATTACTTATATTCATAAGATAAAGATGATCAATTAAATACTTATTATTAGTGTTTTTTTTTTTTTTTTTAAATCACAAATTATTTTGTTGTAGAAATCACAAAGTGTGGTTTTAACCACACTGTTAAAGATTTTCGTTTAAATTCTTTGAAGCTCTCTAAAGCATACGAGGAACAATGGTTTTAAGTCAATTGCGAGTGAATTACCGTGCAAGAGAATTTGATGGATAGCGGCAAGTATAACCTAGCGAGTACATATAAGATAGATAGCCCAAAGTATGGAAGAAACGAATGTTCTCGACGAGCTTAACCACGGCAGTAAATGAAAGCGCGAAGGAATGTAACACCCCATCCGCCTCTCTCTTTGTCAGAAGAATATTAATGCATGGTGAAGCGATAACTGGCTAAGCCAGCGCAACTGGAAGGAAGCAAAGGCACTTATATATATTGCCGCTCGGTACTCACCTCGACGACCTTGAAGTCGTCTACGGCCCTTCTGGCGAGGGCCTTCTTGCCAACGGCGCTGCCCTGGCGCTTCGTTGCCGTTCCGACGATATCGCTGTACGTTGGCGAGGGCTTCAGCCTGCCCTTGAACGTCGATATGCAAGGTCGGTGAGTCAGGATGCCGTTGCCGTCGCTCTCTAGGCGCGCTCGATCCTTCAGCATCTTTTTCTGCTCCTTTTCCGCGCGTGATTCAGCGACCTTCTGCCGTTTCACATACTCCTTTAGTCTGTGAACGAAGCATAGAAGATCACTCGATTACCGGACACGATTGCTAATATAGATCGAATACATGGGAATCGACCGTTGATGGCTTATCATATCGGAATTGATGATGGTTAACGATTGAAATTATAATGTCTTCGGGAATGGATATTTTTTCGGAAATTCTATTTGCATTTGAAAGCTAATAAAGAGTGCCGAGGTAACAATATCATAAAAATGACCACAATAGAATTAAAAGCAATTCGTCTCTTGCGATATTTTAATTTACTAATAAATATTTTTATTGACCATTGAATACTTTCATGTTTTTTCGATACTGTTGGGGGGCTACATAACAAATCGGCAGAAATTCTGTCATTTGAATCTAAAATAATTCATAGTCATAAAGAATATTTAAATAGCCGTTTTTTCTAATGTACATTCATATTCAATCAAAAGTAAAGCAAAAATTACGTTTGACAAGTTTCTAATGGATTTTTTGATAATTACTTCCGCTAATTTATATTACATGTTATATTAAAATAGAATAATTATACAATAATCTTAATTAATGATATTTAGAAAATTTTTAATTAAATTTTTTATATAATTTTTAATCGTTTCATTAAAATTTGCTCGTACAATGAAATTCCAATTGCTTAACTTAAAAAGACAAATGATTTTGTCTTTTAATTCTGAACAGTTTAATTATAAGTATTAAAATAGAATTACGAAAGCATGAAACTACATGTCTTACTATGTCAATTTTACTCTACTTAATGTGCTCGTATGCATATAATTATTGTAGAAATACAATTATTACGACATTTATTTTTTTAATAAAAATTTTTAACACCAAGAAAGCGAAGTTGGCTACGAATGCAATTAAATTTCTTAACTATCGTAACTATATTAAATTTCAAAATAGTTATAATTGCAAAATATATAATTGATTTGTCACTGTTCTTTAAAAGGAACTTTTGATTGAACATCTTTGATTATAAATATGTTTTAATTTTGATTTATACATAAATATAGAAATACTTTAACTTTCTAATTATGTCGTTGATAAAGTAAATATTTTTCGTAGTGTATAAAAACCTACATGTGCCGTATGTATAAAAAATTCATTAATCGTAAAAGTTTACATAATGAAATATACTAATGCATTATGTAATTTAATTAGTATTATATGGTATATTATAATATAAAAATAATATTCATATTTATTTAATGTATTAAATTATTAAAAAAACTTAATTGATATAATATTGAAATTAATGATTCTCACTCTCTCTCTCTCTCTCTCTCTCTCTCTCTCTCTCTCTCTCTCTATATATATATATATATATATATATATATATATATCTTCCCGAGTACTTATCAAAAATAATAATAATGTTGAATAATGAAAATCTTATATAATCATAAAATTCATTTGGTATTATAGTCTCAAATGATAAATTTCAAAATAAGAATACTTAGGTACAACGGGAGAACGTGAGTCTTAGCAAAATCTATCGTTCAATCATCATTTCATCGATACGATAAGTTTGTTGAGTATTAAATCTATTGAAAATATTGATTACACAAGCTGGTAGATCTTACTTGGAAGATTACTTATAATATCAGTTAAGAAATTAATTATGAGAATCTATATAAATATTTCTGCAATTAATTAAATTGGTGTTTAAGTGTTGATAAATATGGCAAAGATATGATTATGATATAAAGAGATTATTATGACAATACTTTTCTGTAAAACAATGAATTGCTGAAAAACTATCGAACATAGTAGTATGTATGCTTTGAAAAGCATAAATAAAGTCAGTTTAAATTTATAACGACAGGGAAAGTAAGTTTTCTGAAAAGCAAAAGCACGTAGTTAATCTTAAAAGTATTATCGGCCAATCCCTTTTGAAAAAACATTTACTCAAAATCTTTGAAATTCCCAAGGTAGTTGAAAGTATACGTAAGTCTCCGTCAGTCGTTTGCGCGTGTACCAACAGACGCGCTCTCTCTCTCTCTCTCTCTCTCTCTCTCTCTCTCTCGCTCTCTCGCTCTCTTAATTTTTTACGCCCGCATATCTGGCATTTCCCCGTGAAGGAGCGTTATCGGTACCATAAGAGCGCGCCTATATACGCAGAAGAGTTAAAGAACCGAGCGGCGGCGAGTGACTTTCATTTCGGGCGAGAGCCAAGGAACGAGCGAAGGCTGCGCGGCATTCCATCGGGAGCACACACGCACGCGCACTCGTAAAACCGACGAGAGTCCGCATCGGCCTCGGGGTGATCGGAGCGACCATCGGCCCGCTCACCTCTTCTCCGCATCCTTTTCCGCCTTCTCCTTCATCATGCGGCTTTTCTTGCGGTTGTTCAGCTCCTGATCGGCCTGGGCGACGTCGAGAAACTGCAGGATCCGTTCGCGGCCGTTTATGGCTGCGAGCTCGCGCGCCGAATGTCGGTCGATGTCCAGTGACCAGACGTTGCAGCCGAACTTCACCAGGAAGCGGACACAGAGTTCGTGGCCCCGGGCCGAAGCCAAGTGCAGCGCTGTGTTGCCGAAGTAATCGGCCTTATCAGGATCGCCCCTGCGAACAAATTACAAATTTCCAGTCGTAATTATTGTGATTGAGCTAACTCTTTTATTGGGATTATTTATCTTTTTTTTTTCTTTCTTTCTTTTCATTAGCAAACATATATTAATATAACTTCCACATTTTAAGTAATAAGCGTAGTTTGTATTCAAAGTACTCTAATGGGTAGCCAGCTTTTCCTCTGTATTCGGCAGACGTCAGAGTCGACACATCAGATATATATATATATGTTTAATTAAAACTAATATTAATGAAATGCGTTTGTATAATTTTAATGTTAAATAAAGAATTTTAAGATATTTGCAATATAAATTATCATTTACGTACTCGGTATCCACGCAGCTTTATATATTTAATGCTTCAGTAAATATACTTTTTTCCTCTTCTTTTTTTACTTATTTACTTAGTATAATTGCACGCATAAATAATTTAATTATAAGAAATAGTTATTATTTTATATTAAAGTCCGTGCACTTAATTCTTAATTTATATAGTGGTAATTTAAAATTTTTAAATTGTATTAAGTTTTATTTATTTACTTTATAAATTATTAAATGCCTTATAAACATTTAAATATATATATATATATATATATATATGTTAAATATTGGAGAAAGTTAAGACATTAAAAATGGCAACTTTCTAAATATTTGAACTAACGTTTTCCAAACAGTCATACTATTATGAGATTTTGTTTTTTGAAACTATAGCCATACACTTATATCTTACTATATAATGAAAAAACGTATTTAATATTTAATAATTTATCTCTCTAAAATTCTTATCATAATGAATATTTCATATGAAAATATTTTTGTTCGGTAACAAAAGGTGCAGTTCATTATTATTTCAATGTTTTTTCTTTTAACATTATAATATGTAATAAATATATTATGCTTTTATGTCTATAAATATTACTTTACTTAAAATACAATTTTCATATAATTGTCATTGCCTAGTTGAATAATTATTATTTAGACTATTTATCTTAATAAATATAATCTCTTAATTTTATCATTATAAAGAATTAAAAAGTAGTCAAAAATATTTATAATTTTATGAAATTTTTAGGAAAACATTTAATATAATAATGTAATAATTTACATTTTTTAATTAAAATTTATTGAATATTATAATAGTTTATGGTTTAATAGTTATTAGATTATAAAATTATTTTATAAATTAAATTTAATATAACATTATTTTTTCAATTAACTAAAGATATTCAATAATTATAGATTTTTTTAACAATGACAAAAAATTTGTTAAAGCTCAACGATTAACTCTATAATTAAAAAATTCTATTCATATAAAAATTAGTAATTAGTTTACGGGAGAGTATTGAATTATTTATGTACTTTTAATTAATTTTCTAAATTATTTTTTAAATTACTCATATTTATATCGAGGAATTTAAAAGTCTTCTTGTTTAATAGTAAATTGTTTTTTGTTTTTAAATTGACGCTTTAATATCGCGCAGCTTTGTTATTTAACATTAATATTGTATTTTTGTAAAATGTATTTGAATAAACTCCAAGTATGAATTTAAAGTAGAAATTGTTAATTATATTATCATTTTGAATCATTTTGAATAAGAGTTAAAGATATTATCTTAACGAAGTTACAAATTAAATAATTCTTTAATTAATAATTCTTCAATTTTAAATAATGTTTATTTTATATTTGATTATCATCTTTATTATGATAATGAATTGTAGTAAAATAGTTTCGTTCAATTTTAAAGTATTTTTAATAAATTGAATAGGTTCGTGTATATAATAAAACTGTGTTATAAATTAAATTTTGTAAACAATTATGTTGTCAAACTTTTCTAAATGCATAAAAGTAGCTATTTTCCACATGCACACATAATAAGTAAATATTTTTAAAAAATTTACAATGTAAATATATATATATATATATATATATATATGATATTCTTTTGTCTCTTAAGATATATTTAAAGAAATAAAATCGATTCGAAGGGTTTTAATTTTTAATAATAAAACTTCAATTCACGTAGAAATGACAAATAATCCAAAATTTTTACATTTGATTGCTTACTATTTTTAAATGTTAATCACATATAATGAGTTATTGTTTTCTTTAAAATCTTGGTACTACACTTAATTGATTGACGGTTACAAAGTATTAATGTAACAAAAGTAGAATTTTCTATGTAATGTGTATTCTGCTTGTAACCATTACATAAAATTAGAAACGACGAAAGCATTAGAATTTTAAATGAATCATAAAATGACAAATTATTCAATACCTTCTTATCATTCTATTATAATGATTATTTTTATGATATTTGAAGTTAAATTTAATTTTAAGAACTTTGGTATTAATAAAAAAATATTCTATTCGAATCAATGATTATAATGTATATAAATATATTTTTCTTCTTGTAAAATCGATTCTTTGAATATAATGTAATAATAAGTATCAGTTTAGTATCCGATTAGTATTAGATTAGAGATTAATAGAGGTTTAAACCATATGTGATACATTGATGACACTTTTTAAAATTATTCGTATAAATAAATAATAGAATATGTAAAATAGGAATGTTTACTGATGTTTCGTCTATTTATATTTAGTATGTAATTTATATTTTTTTGCTAATCTTTTATTCAATATTATAAGAGTCTTCGCCTATAGAGTAATGAAAATTTAGGAGATATGGATTATTGATTTATTTTATTGATATTAATTTATAAAATTAATGTTTGAATTCTCATTCTGTCTACGATATGTTTTTCAATCGAATTGACATTCAACTTGAATTTAATAAAAAAAGTTCCCATTATGCTTTAATATATCATTTCTAATTATATATATATATATATATAATAATAATAAAATTGAACGTAACAATAAGGAATAATAAATAATTTGAAATTTATAAATAATTTTTCTTATTTACTTTATGGTTCTCGCTATGTTTATAATGTAAAAGAAAATATTATTAAATATAAAACATTATATACATTATATTTAATAATGCATAGAAGTAATATGTTTGTTATTCATTGCATTAGTTTATAGTTAATCCAGAAATGTAGTCACGTTCTAATAAGGAGATATGTTAAGTAGGATTGATTAAAAATATCTAAATACTTAAAAATTGCTTAACTTTTTGATGATTTGCTTAATGATGATGTGTAACATATTCTAATAATAATGGAAGTATAGTTCGTGATTATTTTTCATAAAAATTGTGGTAGTAAAATTAATATTTTTCATTTTGAAGAAAAAAAATCGTTACTAGAATATTTTTATACTGTGATAGTAATAATCAGTAATTAAACGATTTTCCGTGAAGGAAAAATTCATTGTGGGAACTTTGCGAGAACGTAAAAACACGTGTTATCATTATGACTATGAAATGTTTTATTTGCAATTCGAATAAATCAGGACTTAAAACATTGAGAAATTAAGTGCAATGGCAAGAGTCGAATATATTTTCTGTATGTAAATGTGATATTTAATGCTGTTCGAACGTCGAGCTTAGAAAAAACTCACAAATAAAAATGTTCGCATAAAACCCAATAGCGATTAATGGAAATGATACAACAATACTAATGTTTAAAAAGTGTATTAAAACCTATATAGAAGCAAACATTGTTCTTGTATTATTCATCTGAAATATATTAACTTTTTAAAACTGATTAGCGTTTAAGCTCTCCAGCTTTGATAATTGCATTAGAATAATGTTCGAGTACCGGAACGAGTAATATGCATAAATCAAGTAGTTCGGCCCTGAACTTGTTAAGCAGCGCCAATCGTTAAACGAGAATGAAGTTTATCATAACGACCGATTTCTTATAAGCTTTGCCGGGCAGTTTGCCACTCTTTTCTCATAAAAAAATATCAAGAATATAAGGTTTCGATCGTAGCTCGTATGCACACGTGCCAATGAACGGTTCGCGCATCCGGGCCATCGGCGTCTGAAAATTAGGCCTCGAGTGGCTCGCACCCATTTCACTCATTATGCACGTAAACAAACGCACACCGTGATGTGAAGTAGGTATATCCTGGTCCGCTCACTATTACTTCCGGTCACGCTACCACTTGGCAGCGCGTCGATGCACTTGCGCGTTCGCTTTATTATATATTTGTCTCTCTGTCCTTCGCTCCCTTCATCCCACTCTACCTCATTACACATTTTAATTGTATGTATCTGTATTATGTTGCTACTATTCCGTCCAATAATATTGTGTATTTCTTTCTGCATTGGCTATTTAGCCTTTTTCTATCTCTTTCATTCTCTCTCTCTCTCTCTCTCTCTCTCTCTCTCTCTCTCTCTCTTCTTCTTCATCTTTTGTTCTTTGGATGCCAGTTCTTTCCCTGCATGCGACCTTCCTTTATTTATTCTTTTTCTATATATGTCCATCGAATATACAAAGCTGCATGCATCCGTGTAATGGAAAAAAAAACAAAAAAAAAGTATACGAGTCGCGTGCCACTGGCTACAAGGGGAAATATGCCATCGAGCTGCATCTAATGAGGAGGGAGGGGGAAAGGCGAGCATCTGCATGCACTATGACGTTGTACGAGCCGTACATTATGCCAGAATCTGCAGTTTTTTCTATGCGATATTGTAATTATAATAAGAGCACAGTTAAATGTTTCAGGAGGCAGACTTTTTAGTCATAATTTTTTTTCGTATAGACTACTTTTATTTTATCGAGTGTTGTAAAGATTATTTATATAATCAAGATTCTATCATACGTATCTTAACAAGTTAGAAAGTTCAATTCATTATGACGTGTAATGTTCTTTTACATTAAAGACTTTTTGAAATTTTCAATCTTACAAGGCACCTTTAACCATAAATTATAAGTTAGAAATAACTGCCATTACGAATGATAGATTGATTTTAAGTACTAATTTTTATTTTGTATTTTCTAAAATAATTATATATTAATGTAATCATTCTCATATATATATATATATATATATATATATATATATATATATATATGTGTGTGTGTGAAATGATATGTTTGTGTATCATTAACTTTCATTGTTTGGTCGCTTTAGTAAATTTAAGAAACATCATAATTACAATAATTATATAAATTTTTAGTTTTAACGTGTATGTATTGTAGAAAATATCATGCTGATTAGAATAATATTCTATGAATAAAGTGATTATATTCAGTGATTTTATAACGTATACAAAACTGTTTAAAATGTTGGTACGATTGCATTGATATGTGTTTGAATTTAATATAAATAAATAGATTAATATATTTTATTCATACGATAATAAATTTAGTGGTTAAACTTTTTCAAAAAATATTTAATGTTATTGACTATTATGAATGAATCGGAGCCTTTGTATGATGGAAAGCTGAGGAAATGCGTACAAAAATCATATATTTATATAATTAAATAATTAAAGATGGTATGCTAATTAATAAAATGTATTTAACTTTAGCATTTTATTTGGTTGTGATAATATTTCTTAAAATCCTTATAAAATTTCTTATAAAATTAACATTTTTATTATATTTATAAATTAAATTTCAAAATAAACATTATAAGTTTACCTCTATACCGAATTGTTTATCACATTGCAATAATTATTTATCGATAAGACATTAATGATTTTATGGTAAATATATATGGTAAACTAGAATAAAAATAGACATTAAAAATTAATTTTAACTAAGCATGCATGCATAAACCTGCCATTGCAAAAATATGAAGAAGTATCAATTGCATTAAAACAATCGATATTATCATAGATTTATCCTAACTGGTAGAATTGAATTTATCAAATTTGTTTCGAGCTACACTTTATAAATTGTTTCTGCTGTGTCCGGCACAATTGTGTGGGCCAATTTTTACTCCAACTCACCGCAATTTCCTGGCACAACAAATACACACGCATGGCTACAGCATACTTCCGTTGTCGTCGAGCATCTGCTGTTTTGTCGCCATCTTCCTATGAAGTTTAGTTAGTACAAAGACGAGATGTTAATGTTGTTTATATTAACACGATTCATTGGCTCGTTGGTGAACGAAATTCAATCGATAAGTTCGTTCATTATCAAGTTCGAAATAAATTTTATAAAGATCAATAAACAAATTTTATCAAATCATGCATGTATATACAATGATAAAAAATATACAGAATAATCGAATTATTTTTATTAAACAATATTATAATTTATTGCCTATTTATATTATGCAACTCGTATATTTATTATGTATTAAACATTATGTATTAATAGAAGATAATGAATGTTAAAATGAAAATGGTAAGAATTTAGTAAAATATAATTTTATGTTAAATATTCATCGCTTTTTAATATAAATATCAATGCCTTTATATATATATATATATATATATATATATATATATATATATATATATAATATGCAATTTGAAACATTTTATATTGATTTCTATAGAATTGAATTATCCGAAGATTATGGTTTGTAAGTAAATATATTCGTCGTTAGTCTTTTTGTTAGTCAAATATACACCTTTTGAATCCATCGGTATGAAAATTAATCAACGTGATTGATTTCTTTAGTGTCATTTTCCAATTACTCGTTTGTACGTACATTTGATTGCAAGTGAATTTCAGCAAAATTGAATTTTCCAAATTTTTAACTTTGATTCTGTAATTCACATAACTTCATAAAATAATGGAATAATTAATTACAATAAAAATTTTTACATTTGTGGTAAGAGATTTTATATTTGCTTTAAATAAAAGTTGTTACTTTCTGAATAATTGTAATAAGAACTTCAATCTTTACTTTTTTTTTTTTAAATATCTTCCAAATATAATCAATAAAGATCTAACAATTACTAAATATTGCTTATAATTTCAAAATTTTAAATAAATACAATTCCGTTGCCTGTAAATTATATAGGCTTTCAAGTATGCACGTGCATCGATTAAAATAATATTTACCTTTTTTTTTAAATTTGAAACTTTTCTTTAATATAACGAATAAAACAATTAACTTAATTTGTATTTCATTTTGTTCTATAGATATTTAATGTATGCTACATTTAGTGTAATATAATTGTATTAAAAATTTTCATTCGATGTGATTTATATATAAATAATTATTGCTACATATTTTATGTTATTTATGTATTAAGATGAATCAAATAACCAAGATAATTAGAAATTAATTGTTATTTTTATTGTAATAGACTTGATATAAGAAATGATATTTTTTGATATTGTTGTGTATCTAATTGAAATTAATTTATAAGTTAAACATAAAATTACTACAAAGAATTCAAAATTATTACTTGATTCTTGTTACTAACAAAATTGAAACTTTTATGACTTAATAGTGTATTAGAATTGACTAGTTAATATCGTGTCGTTAGAAATACTAATTTCGAATATGTAAAATTGATTAATATCGATTCAGAGTAAACACGTTGCATGGAATATAAATTAATTATAAAGTGAAAAATGGCGATTTAGTACTTTTTCAATATTTAATTTGATTCCTGGACTCGTTTAATATAATATTATAAGAGCTCGAATATTCACAGACTGAAGATTGCAAATAATTATAATATATATAATTTTTTTTTAATTAAAACTAAGTAAAAAAAAGTAAATTAAGTGTTGTTAATAGATGCAATTTTTTTAATCTGCGATGAGTGCATTTGAGCGTAATGACAAATGGAATATTATTGAATGAGAATTATTGAATATTACTAACAACAGTCAAATAAGACAAGAAAAAATGAAATATAAGTTAATTCTTTTGGATGATTAATAGAGAAAATAAGGTTTAATAGGTATTTCAAAAGTACTTGTCATTTGTATTGTTTGTATAATTTGTTATATATTATTTTATATTACTTTTATTTTACATTTATATTATTTGTATAATTTGTAATGTTATAAGCAACGCAAATGATTCAAATATTTTTTTCAATTTGTTTCCTATTTAGATGAAATCGATAATAAGAATTTTGGCTAAAGTTCGAAAGGATTTAGTTATAAAATTAAGAGTTGCAATACGCGAGTGGAACAATATAACGTAAGAGTTTCCTAAAATTGTAGACAGACCAAGATGGGTTGAAAGTCAACGGAAAGTTATGAAGACTTTTCATTAAGGCCTATTTCATTCTTCTTATTATTCCATGAAAAATAAAGATTTACAGTTATAATTTTTTAATTCGTTGTAATAATGACAATGAAATACATTTAAATAAAAAATATTTATTAAGACTCGAAGAAAATATTGTAAATTATTGTTCAGAATAAATATCTGAAAAATTTATGCTATTAGTTTTTTTTAAATAAAAAAGAATATTATTCTATAATAACACATAAAACCTTCAAGTTGGAAAATTATAAAGTCGGTTGAATTCTTTCCCTTAGGTTGTAAGGAATCGTAAAAAGGAAATAAACTAGTGTTAAACGTCTATACTTTTTATGCTTCAGCAGTGCTTAGAGTTTTATTATAGATTTTTATTCTTTACTGAAGAAAATATAAATTAAAAATCTTAACGAGAAGATATTTTTTAAATTTTATAAATCGATAAAAAGCTACGGAAAAAGTTAATTTACTTAATTGTACGGTGCTAGTTGATTGCATTATTATCGACACGTTTTTCTACCTATGAAAAGTAATTATACTCTATGGGAAATTTAACTTCCATTATATGTTTGTATTATATTATAATATGGGCTCGATTATTATTTATTATAACAATCTTGAATGAATACTAAAAATAAATAGAAATGGGTAATTAATTTTATTAATAATAGAAAATTGAAAAATGCGATATTGTCTTAACATATTTTTCTTACAAATTTATATTTAATATTTATATTTAATAATTTAAATAATTTCGTGCTATCATTCAATTAAATGTATTTCAAAAGCATTAGATTTAATATGAAAATATGTTCATTTATGTAATAATATATAATGTAAATTATTTTTTAATGAAATCTTTAAAGAATTTACAAACAGAAGTAAAGATATTCATTATGAAAGTATTTTAAAAAAATCATGCTTATTATTAAAAATCTCGAATGTAAATATTGAATATTATTTGTAAATTACAAATGTATTTCAATCCTAATTAAAATTTGATCAACAATGAATTAAAGTACATATAAAAAATATATATACCCTCTTGCAACTAAAAGTCTTAGAGCTTCTATGTGACCTTCAAAAGCCGCCCATAATGTTGGGGTCATTCCACCTTCATCTCTGGTATTACAATCCTTTCTCGTTGCTTCTTTTAAAATTTCCACAATATTATCTTTAGCAGCCCTGAAAATAATATATTTATATTTTTAAATGGAATAACAGTATACACTAGAGGAGAAGTAATTCACCATTAATATTGAAATTGTAAATAATGATATTCATATAATGATCTATTAGTTTAATATATATTAAGATTCAAATCCCAAGTCATACATAGATTTGTTACTTATACATATATTAATCATCGAATATAATAAGTTAATTGGCACAGAATTTTAATCATAGGCAAAATATTTATTATGTAAAAGTTGAAATTAAACGCTAGACGAAAAGTAAAATAGCAGTAAATAACATTGAATTTTACGATTGATACGTTATATAAATTTTATTTGCTTTGTTATATTTAAAATATTTTTTTTTACATTAAATAGAACGTAATTATTATACATGTTTATAAATTATTTGCTATATCCGTTATATTGAGAAAAACATCATTTATATATTATGAATGTAAAAGTCCAATTGGATGCGACATAGAAAATATTTTGATACGCATTGATATTATTATATTGTATATTAATGAATCGCCTTGAATGTTAATTGTGTTATAAATTAATTTATAAAGTCTTATATTTTTATTTGCTAAAGTAAATATACCATCATTCGACAAAATTAATTCACTTTAATTTCATTATAAAACAAATAGGAAATAAGTTTTCAAGTTTATTATTATTAAATATTTGTAGATAAGTGATTAGATAAAAGATAAATATATTAAATAATAATTCTAAATATTAATAAGCATTTAACTTTGTATCATTGAACATTACATCATAGGAATATATAGGAACAATTTATTACCGTAACTACATAAATAAATGAGGACGCATCAAACTGAATCCACAAAATATTTTACGCTTTTCAGATACGTTAATTATTCTTCTCAATGGCTTCAATTAAAAAAGCATAACAAACTATTTTTATTTCTTTTATATTTTAGAAAAAATATAGTACCGTCGATATTTTTATCGTTCAAGTTTTATTCATCATTTCACAATGATATTGATATATTTTAAAGTGGATAATGTTATTCTTTGCACTATTTTAATTTACAAAAATCTATATTTATGTATATAATAATCAATTATATTAGGTATATTTTTAAATTAAACATATTGCTAATTTTATATTATTGTTTCTTTATTGCGGATTAAACATATTTTAATAATCACAAAATTATTAACTTGAAATTTAAAATTTTCAATCATATTAACTATTTGTAAATTAAACATATTGCTAATTTTATATTATTGTTTCTTTATTGCAAATATACGACCGATCGTTTTTAAAATTACAAGATTTAATGTAAATATTAGATAAATTGCTTTGAACTTAAAATATAAAAATCTGTTCGTGAATTTGAATGTGTTGCATAATATTTTTATACTCTATAACTTTCGAGGCTAAAGGTTGATATATGATTTAATTTAAATATTTTATACATTTAAATTTTCTATGAATTTGTGTTTTTAATATAAAATTTATGCATTCCAGAGAAACATAGTATTTAATTATATGCAGAAGGAATGTTTTATGATAATAAATTATGAGAATTATCAGGAAATATAGTTAAATTAATTTTCTATTTACACATATAGATTTTTAATTAAATATTATTAAAAAAAAAAAAATCTTTTTTTAATATACTTAATTATTAAATATTCAAAGATCAGCAATTATGTAAAATGTAAGTTCTTTTAAATAATGTAAAAAAATTAAATAAGGAAATATTTAGAACGTTTTAAAATATGCAATAGCATATCTCATGGCATTGCATTTTAATTTCTCGTGGTTGACGCGCGCTTATATTTATAAAATAAAAAAGATGTAGCAATACATCTTTTTCATGCCATCGTTGATTGAAATGAGAATTTTTTTTATTTTTTTTTCTTATTTTTTTCAATACATTTTTCACTCTTCATTCACCATAAGGAGGTTTGAATATGTTACTCTGCGCTTGCGGCTTTAAAATTATCTCATATCTTATATTTTTCTATTTTATATGGATTAATTAAATAAAGTAAATTAATTTTTCGACATAGAGAAATGCATATAAGTTTAGAGTTCACATACTCGTGCTTTTCGTACAAGGAATAGTAATTTCTTTTTATTAAAATTAAAGTCAATATTTGTCGACAACTATTACAATGTAGCTATATTTTAAAATAATTATAGATGAAAGAATGTTTAAACAATTATAACTTTTTCAGATATGATTAGATGATAGGTATTTTATTTAATTTTAATTTAACGAGTATTTATAAAAAGGTTAGAAAATATATATTTCTTTAGTATTAATCTTTTATTTTGTTAAGCAATGCATTAAGTAGTCAATGTTAATCGATGTGTCGAACTCGATAACTTTACTGTCTTCAATGATCTTATGATAAATCAAAATTACTTTGTCGTAGATGAGAGGAATCTGCTATATATACGTGTCAAAACTTTGTCAAGTATGTAAACAATATTGACTCGATGTTGCTTCGTTTGAAAATATGCACCTCTCTCTCTCTCTCTCTCTCTCTCTCTCTCTCTCTTCCTCTCTCTATAATATTTTTACTTAAATAATTTTTACATAATATTCTACACAGAGTCGAAGTAATTACTAGGATATTTTATATAATTAGCTCGATTTGCATGCTAAACATCTACTGTTATTCGTTTAGAATAAAAACTTTTCAACTTTCAGATTTTATTATAAAATCACATATTATTTTAATGTAATGACTACAGATTATGAAAGAGATTAAAACACTTTTTATAGATAATGTTTTAGGGATATTTTCTGTAATTACTGAGAAATGTGACATAATGAAGTCAACATAACGTCTTCTTTCTAGTAAATAAATGCCTAAAGTAATCTTATATGAAAGGCAATTGATTATTATATATATATTTTTTTTATATTTCATGTAATTTATAAAGTAGTATTTATAAGAAATGTATGAAAGCATAATGAGTGTTAATTCACTCGTTAAAATTTTTTTACCCCTTATAACTATTGCGCTTATTGTTATTTACCGATAATATTAAAACTGTTTTTTTACGTCCCAAGTTTCATTGAAAAAGAATGGAAGGATGTTTTGCTAAACATACGGATGGATGTGGTTGTATGAACTGCATGGGAGATTTGTTTGTAGCGTACTATATTATTTAATTTACTGACATTTCAGAAAAAGGGTGACATGGTTAACCAATAAAATTTTAATCGGTGCTAACAACCGATCCTTTTGATAATGAAATTATTTCATAATTTTAAGTATTAAGTCGATTTGAAACGTGCATTCCTTCAATTCGCAGAGAAGCACCTGCGTCCGATGAGTTCATAAATTTCCATATTTACATACGTCGTCAGAAATAGCTTTCTTAACCGAAGGTAGTTGTTGAGTTGAGATCGTCTGTTTTTGTAAACTTCCATATTTAGCTCTACACGGTGCTGCACACTAACACACACGCACGCACGCACGCGCGCACACAGAGAGAGAGAGAGAGAGAGAGAGAGAGAGAGAGAGAGAGAGACATACAATTCTGACAGCGGCGAAATTCCAGTTATTGTTTTGCGAGTGATGAAATGACGCGCACCGCTCGCGCGAGCTCGTCTTTCCATTCAATAAGTTTGCCTGCTCCAGTTTCAATAGCGAAGAGGAATTGGAATTGTACGAGTCACCACCAGTTGTCTATTTAATTTTCCGCTTGTTATCTACGTGCTTCTAAAACAATGTTTCCGTCTCTGGTTTCCGAAGATTTCTAGAAAACTTTCATATCTTGATCTCTTAATTAATGTTGTTTGCGAGAAGCGAAATGTACATTATGTTGATCGGTAGTTACGTAAATATTAGACGACCTTTCATCGATGAAATAATGTATTGATAAATTTAAATATGATTAAAAGGGAAGAATTGAATATTTATATGAAAAGCATTGAGACTCGCGAGTCAGATATTGTTTATGCTTGAAAATTAATTTGCACTACGTTTTCAATTCAGTAATCTTCATATTTTTAAAAAATAAGACAATAAATTAAAAAAAAAAAATGTAGCAAATTCTTGCACTAATTACACTTTAACTGGTAATTACTATTAAAATTATAATTATAACAAGGCATAACTTTTTAAAATGTTTTAAGTGGTTTAATAACATATCATATTATTACGTTAAAATATGTTAAATTGTTGTAGGTGCATTGAAATCATTATTATTGTCTTTGTATTAATTGTCAATAATATTGTGCTTGATAATTTGTGAAAATTTTTTTTTTTGTTTCATATAGAATTTAACATATAATTAATTCATTCAGCTTCGGCATAGCATTGCTTTATAGTAAAAATGAAACCAGATGATTTGTGTAGACTTTCAGTTGTTGAAATATTTCCGTTATGAGAGAAATAAAGATTCCGATGTGATTTTTCCCAAGGCAAGTGAATATAAAATGATTATATACTTAATTATGTGAGAGGTTTCATATTACTTGCTTTTCTTCAACATTTATGATACATATATTGACAAATTTTATAGAGTATTGTACGAGAGCATTAATCGAACGATTGCATTCTACATATTTAGGATAAAATACATTAGTAAATAAATAATAATCTAGCTTTCATTTAAATTACTCGGCTATAATTTAAAATAGCAAGAATTATTTGTTCCTTGATAATTATATTTTTACGCGAAAGTGTTATTAATTTGAAAATAATATGCAGTAGTCAGGATCTCTTTTATTAAAATTATACTTCCCTTTTCGTAAGAATATATGTCAATTCTATAAGAAATTAATAATTTTAGAAGGTTTATTTATAGATATATTATATATAATGAAGTGATACGATTTCGATTATAAATAATAATTTTAAAGAATATGTTAAAAACTGTTTGCGTTTTATTGTATACTAATTACAATCTTTTCTTATTGAATTAATAAATATGACATATTTGGTTCGACAGTTTCACCTGTTTTAATTATCCTTTTCTCTAATTAATTCTTTCAGAACTATGGCAAAACTATGTCGAAGTAAATTATAATAAGTTAAATTATTCGCACAGTTGTTTTCATTGAAATAACTTGATTTCGTATTTAATATTTGGATTGTTTAATTTTTAATATCTTCAATATATTTATGAAAATTAATAAAAAATTTCATTAATGTAGGTCATACTTAATAAGTTGATATTTTTTCTTCATTAATTATGATATTTACGCATATAACTAATTAATTTTTTAAAAATTAATTTTTTATATAAAATTTTAAATAAAAATTTACAAATACATTAATTAATTTTAATTAACAGTACGGATTAATTATTTTTACAGCCACATTAATGTAATATGACACATTGATTTACGTACTCGTTGTAATGGAAATTATGCATTAAGTTCATGTTCTAGGATATATTAATGTATTATAAATATTTTATATATTTAAGGTTGACTTTAGCAAAGGACGATATAATGCCTGAATATTTAATAGTTTCAAACAAATGCAGTTATTATAGAGAAGTTAATATGTATTGTGCGTACAATTGTTTTTTTTTTTTAATTTTTAAAACAAACATAGTACATATTTTTTTTTTTTAATCAGAGTAACCAATATTTTAATTTTATATAATATTTCATGGGTTTTTAAATATTGAATACTTTGTAGCACTTGATATTGAAATGACACGTGTATTATTGAAATTTTCAAAATACTTTTTTTTTTCTTTACATTTCTTTTAAGTTAAACTAGACAGATCATTGATCACCGTTATGCAGGAATATATAGATTGTTTAAAGAATGTTCTATCGTTGTCAAAAGAGTTGAGTTAACGAGATTTTTAAAATAGCTTACTTTTGTTCAAGATGCGAGGAAAGTGCGAGAGTTCCCTTTCCTCTTTCAAACGACAAACGAGTTCCTTGCCCGAGTGCATTTCTTGCACAAGACCTGCAACGGAAATGATTGCTCGCGCCTGCGCAAAGACAAGGGAGCCCACGTTTTCGTGCGGGTTCTATTGATTCTCAGTTGGTATTCGCTCGAAGATTGGCGCGCACAAAACGAAATTGTTCTCATTTGAATTGTCTTGCTTACCAGTAATATCAATTTTTCCATTTTAATTCACGCCTACGGCACGTATATCTACACAGTGATTGGGACTTCTTGAGTTTCAATTCACATTTGGCTATTGTGTGTTTTGTCAGTTAAATGAAAAACGCACTTCATTAAAAAGAACAATGCACAATTAATGCTATTTAGATTGGCAGCTGGTTCATTCAGCAATTCGATTAAATATTTTATTTTTAATCTTCAATTGATACTACACAGTTATTTTGGCATATGTATATATATATATATATATATATATATGTTAAATTCATTGTACAAGTGTATTTTCGTAAACGTATAATAGTAAAGCTTGAGCTAGATGTTGAGTGGTATTTAATTATTGGGCATCTTTCGAGGCAAACAAAGAGTCACGACGCACATGACTTCACAGAATTTTATGATTATTTAATAATAAGATAAAATCTTATACATAAATATATCATTCCGTTTAACAGTCGTTATAGTTATTGCGGCAATTAAATTATTATTATGAAATTATTAATACTGTACTCGCAACTTTTATTTCTTGAGAAATGAACGCCACCGATGTACATTAAATTCAACAGGAACATTAAGTAAGAATCTAAAATAAATTTTCACACGCGAGGCACGGATTTGATCATATTCTGCTGAGCTCCGCGCAAAGTTGATCTTCATATCCGACTGTCGTCACACGAGGAGATGAAATACAAGTGTACTTACTGCACATCTCGTGGCAATATATTATGAGAAAAATAATACAATCGACAACGTTTATTAATATTTTCAAGATTAATAGATTAATAATAAATTTAAAATACGAAATTTACAATGATATATATATATATATATATATAGACTAGCGTTTCCTTGGCATTTCTCTAAATGTATTTCAAACTGGCATTACGAGCTCATAAACTTTTTATAGATTCGAATAAAGATATTTTTCTTTAGTCCTTTTACCCGAATAATGCAATGATTGATTAATATTATTACATAGAGTTAAACACAAATGTCCGTAATATAACTATGCCACTCTGTTGTTACAGTTCTTTAGTTAAAATCTACGAGTAATCGCCTGGTAACACCGGTTTTTTTTTTTTTTTTTTTTTTTTTTACATTCAATGTAGTCTTGTACTTTTTAAGAGATCTCACGAGTTACGTTGTATATGTGAATTGCCGCAACATAAGCCGAGATGCACTGGTTGGCCAGCGAAGGATCAAACTCAATGACGAGTCTTACTTGTATAGCTACTTAATCGTCTCTCTTTATTGAGTTAACATTTTTTATTATTTTATCGATACCGTGTTATCGTCATTATTAGTTTTCATCGAATAAATGAAGAAAACTGTAGGTGAGTTTATTAATTAAATAGGCTGACATTTATTGATTTATTGAGCTCCAATTCGTTATATTTTGAACAATGTTTTTTGAAAGGTTTTCACTTATTATAAGTTATTATAAATGTTTTAGTTTAATAAAAATATAATGTGACGTAACTCAATGCGTTTTTAAGTTTTTAATTGCATTTTTTTTGCAAGATTTTTAATAATAATTCGATCTGAGTAGCAAGATGTTTGCTTATATTTACAAATAACAAATAAAATTCTTATATAATTATGATAAATCATATTAAAGTTAATATTTGATAAATGACGTTTAATAAAGATAAATTTTTCTATTTGTTTTTATGTATTATGAATTTTTTCATAAGTTCTATTTATATATTAGTTCTTGAATTTTACGATAATTATAGATTTTCGAGGATTCGCAAATTTAACTCGATTTTAAGCGATTTACAACAATTTTAGATGTGTCGGTATTAAACAAATATTTAAAAGTACTTATTAGTTGTTTCAATGAATAAAATTAATACGTAAATGTATACATTCAATTAAAAAATAATATTTTAAATAATAATATATTTTATTATATTTCATTTATGTGTTTCATAAGAAATTTATAGAAATATTATTTAATAAGAGTTTTGCTAAAATCAAATTTTAATTATCGAGCAAAATAATAATGTTTTGAAAAGTTTTATCGTTCATTTTATAAGTGTAATAACCATCTATTTTTTTTATTTTTTTTCTCTAATAAAGTTGAAATTGCCCAGTAAAGCGTTACGAATTTTATTATGCAGCTTATCAAATTGAACTATTCAGTATTGGTATAAAAAATTGTTAAATTATCTTGAAAAAGTACTAGTTATGTCAATTATTGTATATAATATTATTTATGTAAAGGAAAATTCAAAGCTGTAATATATAAATAATAATTTAGTGATATTGTTATACCAGCGATGCTGGCTTGCATGCCATTTTGTGAATAATGATAAATGAAAATTCGCAACAACGGCGACAGTGAAGTGTATTTTAAATAGATCAAAACCTATTATCAAAATCACTTACAACATCATTATTTCATTGTCCATTACCGGACATTGCGTTCATTATCGGAATATTCGCTGTTAGTACAAAATTTCCATAAATTTCGCATTGACAATAATAGGTGAAGGCGGGACAAAGAGATATACACCAACGCGTATTCACTCACACGCTCAAACACGTGACTTTCGAATCCAAGCAACGTGATTCATAATACAACAGCACAACAGTACACCTTTATTTACGAAAGCTCCCTTCCCATCGCGGTCTGTTCGTCTAGCGCACATCAAGCAACCGGCTCAATGCTTTCGTGTATAAAGAGCAGATGGGGCAGCAGGAGTTGGTGCGCAGAGGGTGCAAAAGGACGAGGAGTAGGAGGAAGAAAATAAGGAGGTGAGGAGCCGACGTGAGGTAGGTGGTTCAAGAGGGGGCAGGTCGGGCGCCGACTTACTTGTGAAACCGCTCGGACGTCATTTTTCCTGGACGCGCACTTTCCAAAGACTCCGTAAGAGACGCCAACCGCGGCGTCGATCTCTTATCTCGCCTGGCCTCGCTCCCTTATCGACACCGGCGCCGTAGCAGCCGCAGGAGCAGCAGCAGCAGCAGCAACCGCTGCCGCTCCAGCCTCGTCGCAGGCACTCGTTGCAGGTTTGCCCCGATTAGCCGGAGATCGAGGATCCGCGCGTGCGCCCAGCTCGATTAAGCGCCGACGAAGATAAGCGCGTAAACGTGACGCGGCTCTCAGGACGAGGCCCGAGCAATATACTTTCCGCGGCGTCCGGCAGCCCACTGAGCATTTCGCCTGCCTCGACTTGCTCTGCCACCGCGACCTGCGCGACTCCCCTGCGAGGTACCGCACGAGCCGCTCGTCCCCTCCCCGGTCGCTTAAATCCCCACCAGGTAACGATAGGCTCACCTGCGTCCGCCGCGAGTCTACTGCTTTACCGGTCGAGCCGCTATCTACCATTCGACTGTCCGTTTCGCTCGTCCAAGACTCTTTCAAGCATTTACTAGCTTCATTCTTCCCTCCCAACTTCTATGATAGCTAACCAGCTCGTTAGGTAGTTGACTTTGATAAGATTCGACATATTGCCGACAACATTGATAATCCTTGCGTGCGATCATTGCTGACAATCCTTGTTAAATGCTATAATGTATCCATCTAATCGGAGTTACACTCCGACATTCCGAGCTCACGATACAATACATATTTCACTCTTTTCTTCTTTATTATTTCACACTTTATCTCCATTGTAGCAAAATTGTTAACAATAATAATATAAACGTTCTCCCACGTGTATGGATTATTCACTAATTAAAATAAAAGATGAAATCGTCTCATTTACCGATACAAAAATATTAAAAATTACATTAATGAAAAATACAATGAATCGTACGTTCACTCGCTTAAACATCTTCAACAGAATATGTGTAATTGCACGAGTTATAACTAAACTGATTATTATAGTTTGTTTTGTAAAGTATTTGTGGGATAATATTGGCACGACAATTAATGCCCTACATTATTAACATTATATATAGATATATTAAAAATTGCTTATTCGATAGAAAATATGCATAATACATAGTTCGTAACATTAAATGTCACGTAATTTCTTAAAATAAATAATCATATTATAGGATATTATTGAAAGTATGAAAGGGAAGATTTTATAAAAAATTTTACTCTTTCAACTTGTTTATATTTCTTTATTCATATATGACAACAATTAGCATGCAAAGTGTACAATACTAACCAAATTTTACAACAAATGTATTACAATACTGTGATAATTAAACTCTTGTTGGTTTCAATTTTCGTTATCATTCTTCAATGCATAAAAACTCTATAATTATTTTCTAAGTTATCATTGATCTTAATTATGCCAATAATAACGTTCGATCATTACAGTTCTCTCGCGTTATTCCAGTTTTTTCGGAATTTGTAACAGTCGATCACAGCTTCATTATGTTTTATTTTCTTTGATAAATTTCATTTTCTCGTTATTTACAATATCAATTGTGGTAATATAATAACAAAATAAAATGTACTGTAAAATATATATTAACAATTATACATAAATTATATAAATAATTTAAAAAGGAATTTTTCTATTTTCTTCTTATAATGTTGTCTATTAGCGTTTTATAGTTAATAATATGATTATCACATAAATATACAGTAATTCGATAAAAAATGAGTTCTAATGATCAAATTCTCATTCGTCTTTGTAAAAATGTTTGTAAACTATTATTATTTTAATTTCAAAAATTTGATTAACATATTGCCGCTAAAAATTTTATTTACTTATTAAATAATAGGAAATATTGAAATAATAGTTATTAAATTTTTCATATTATTCAACTGTATATACTGCAGTATATTGAAACTAAAACAATAATTTATTTATTAATTTTTTTAATTTACATATATAAGAGGAATATCTGCACATCCTCTACCAAATTTACTATATAATAATAGTTGAAACAAACGATCAAATCATTATCCTTTTATCTATATTGTTAATGTCTAAATAATTGATACGTGAAAAACTATATTTACTATTAAATATAACGGGATAAATCACTATTATTTTTACAGTTTATATCTCTCTGAATTACAGAATTTATAATATCTTTATTATTCATTTTTCTTTTTAATCCAATAGAATGCAAATTATGCAAAAAAGTGGTTATGTTATTTTCTAGAATCAATTTAATCCAATTATATTCGTTTATTGCATAAATTTGGTGATTTCTGAGTTAATATACTTATACTTTTAATTATTCTTTTGCGCTTGTTTAACAGGCATAATAATGCACGTCAGTGTTGGTAAACATTCTATGATTTAGTTTTTCTCAAGATCATCATTCAAGAAGCATACACATTATTTTCGTATTAAATATTAATGCTCGAATGGTATGTATGAACATAGAGTATTTGCTTTTGCATATTAAAATGAGATAACGACAACATCTGTAATGGTAAATACGTATATTCAGTTAAAACATACAAATTCTTGTACTTTGTTTCATTGTTTTAAGAAAAATGTTTGGCAAAATCTATCTATTCTTATAGAAAAGTCAATGTTCAACAATGATCTCTTTTAACTTTGTTAGTTGTAGCTATAAATTAGCCATAGTATTTACTGATAATTAGCATGCTAATAACGATTACGTATATTCTTTTTCTTAAAGACTTACATAATAATATATTTTCTTTTTCTGAAAGACTTATATAATAATATAATAGGAGCCATGTATGGTTAAATAGGGTATAAAAATATATATACATTGGAGGTCAGCTCTCTGCATAAGATATCAGAGACGTGAGATATTTAATATTTGTCCATTAGGAGTGAAAAGTTTTGTCAAAAATGTCAATCGAGTTTATGAATAGTTATCAAGAAGTATTAAGATCTTTTACGATTGATAGGGAAAGGCATCATTGAAAAAATCATGAAAGTTAGAAATACTGGCCGCGAGAGGCTGTATAAAATCTGAAAAAATGTCCTCGTTTTATTTTCGTTTCACTTTCCGTTGATTAGGGTAGAAAGTGCCATTACCCTTCATGAATTCGTTTTCTGACATTTTAAGTTGCTACATTGCGACACGTTGATGAAATAAATGATTGTCTTTTTATAAAACGCAATTCAAAAAGTGACACTTCTACGTTATGAGCAATGTTTTCCGTATTTTGCAGTCAAGTTTCTCGTTGATGTGAATAGAATCTTTGACATTTTATTTTCTATATTTTCGAATATTCAAATAATTTAGTAGAACACGTTAATTTATAAAATTATGATAAAAAGTTTCTTTCTTACAAATAATATTCCACATAAGCATAAAGTAGATGCGATTATATATAAATAATTATAGTTTAAAGATATGGTATTTTTTATTTGAATGAAAAAATCAATTAAATACAGCCAATTATATCAATAATCTCCCATAGATTATTATTTGTTTTTTCACAGTTTACGCAAACGTTTAAAAGATAAAAGTCGCTGTTCATCGAAACACGACTATATTGAGATTATAGATACTTTATATATTGTAATATTTTTAGCTAAATCGATTTATTATATAGTTGCTATATATGGTATTTAGAATATGTTTATTAACGTTCAATTTAACAATAATTCGATCTGTTTTCAAATCTCATTTTGAGCCTCTATAACTCTACATTTAATATTGTACACATGTATATAAAGCTCACTTTTTTTTTTTTCTTTTTTTTTTTTTCTTACTAGGAATAATTTTTTTATATTGACATTATTTCTACTTGCCTGTGAAAATATGAAAATTATTCAATAGATCTGCTTGAATCTAAGAATGATGATGGGATTTGTGATATTTGTAGGAATAGCAAAAATTGTCAAAAATAGGGGCAACAAATCGCAAATTCGTCGCATAAATTATAACTATCGTAATACTTTTATAAAATTATAAAATTATGGCTTTAGTACGAAAGAATAAAATATAGATTTTATTGGAGTATATGATTCAAGGCTTGAAAAATATTCAATAGAATGAAAAATGAAAATTATTTCATATGAAACAAGTTCAATATAGTTGAATGTAGTTTAGTTGTAATTAGAGAGACAAATTACTATTAGAATATACCATTATATCAAAGAAATTTTTATCAAAAGCGTTAACAACATTTCATTTATAGTTTAAAAGTAATCGTTATGAAAATAATGATTAATGAAAATAGTAAAATTATTTTCATTAAAATTTTCATAAATTTCCTTCTTCATATAATTAATCAACAATATAAAATTCATAATTACAAATAGATTATTATCGTTGAAATAATATTCTAATACTGTAGATCTAATTATTAAATGAAAATATTTGTTACCAAGTTAATCACTGGTCGAGTAGAATAACATATAATCTCAACAATATATTATATTAGTTAAATATGTTATTTAACACTCTTCCTTATAAGAAATGTTAAAATATTAATATGTAATTGCAATATTCTAAAAAAGAATCCAATCGTCTTAGTTGTTTAATTTCATATATTTTTTTACTTCGTCAGCTCGAATGAATTTTATTTATTTACTCTTCCGTAATATCGACGTTTGTAGTAGACATTAAGTTTTCGTTAGTATCTTCATTTATTGCTTCCTTATTATCTTCTGTGTCGTCATTAGTATCCAGCCTCTTGGCATCAATAACTGTCTCATAAACGATCTCTTCTAGGCTTAGCGTTTCCTGCTTAGCATAGTGCTCCAAATCTCCGTAATTCTTGTTGAAGTCAGCCGTTGAACTTTCCACATCGATTTCTGGAAGGTTCTCTAATTCTGGCTCCTCTAACAGTGTATTAACTTCGACTACACCGTCCGATAATATAACGGGATTTGTTATCGCATCGTCGTAATCATGCAAGCGACTATCGCAATCTGAATTATCACATCGACTCTCCTCCGTATCCAGGGACGTTACCGCTGTTGTCGTGAAGTATTTCAATTCATAATCACTAATTATTCCTTTATCTTCGATTACAACCTGTATTTTTCAATATTTTTATTTTAATTATTTAATATGCATTTTAATTTGATATTAGCATCATTAAAATGTTAATTATTATTATTGCACATCTATTATTGCAATTTTTTCATCATTCATAAATTCTTGGAAGCGATTATAAAATTATCGATCTCATTTTATTATATATTCTGAAATATATGTTTTTAGCATAAATGTTATAATTAAATTATTAAAAATGTACTTGTAACATTCAATGTTAATATATTTAAATAAAAGCATTACTATATATTTATTATCGATGGAATTGAGCGACTTATCATTGTTTGAATTAGTATTTAGAATTTCAAATAAACATCTATTGATTTTGTATGAAAAATGGTTTTTCAAATGACTCGGAGCTTTTAGTTTGTAAAATTCGATATTCTGATATTTCCTTTCAGTAATACGCACTTGTGTATTCAGGGAGTAACGACTCGATAAAGAATCGCCACGATGTTTATCAAATGATCGCCGTTTATTATCGTCGGATCGAGAATGATAAAGTTTTGGATGGCGAGGTTTGCGCTGAAGATTCTCCCCGCTGTTCGCCCTGATTTTCCCTTCGAGGTCATCCACAAGGTATTTATTGCAGTCGGCGGTAAAGCGCTCAATCGAGTACTTTCTGAGAAAGTTTACAAGAGAATAGTGCAAATTAAATGAAGCATAACAATTTGATTATGATTTTGTGTACTTGCGCAGTACATAGATCTTTACAGATTATTTAATCTTATGGTAACAACATGAAATATGAATTGAATTCTTATTTAAAAGTAAAAGTAACGGAAACTTTTTTTTTTTTTATAATTTAGATTGATTAATATTATAAATATTATTAAGTATAAGATTTTACACGAAATATTAATGGTAAAATTATCAACAATTGGTAACTATGTTGATACGAATTTTATATTTAACGAAGTCACATATAATAAATAAATTTCATCAACATCCAATAATAATTTCAATTCAATAATATTTTAGATATTACTATCATTATATCTTTATATAAAATTTAAATAATCTACAGAAAATAGGCTTTAAAGAAATTACAAAGCAATTAAAATTTCGTAAATAGATCAATTTTAGATCCTAAATGCTCACTTATTATATATATATATATATATATTTTTTAGATTCATAAATACTTTTTAAATTTATACCTGTTTTATTTATAAGAAAGAGGTATAGGATTACTTAGGTAAAATGGTTAATAAATAAGCGTTGGTTAATAAATTTATAATTTAAAGTTTTCATTATATATTGACGTAGATTATTAAAGTAATAAAAAATTTTTTGGACATTATTTAATTTGACTAATTAGTATAGACTTTTTAAAATATTAGAAACAATATTAAAAATGAAAAATAATTCATAATAGGAGACGCTTTACTTATATTGAGTATGCATATGATATATAAGATGGAGAAATGATCTAGAATCTCATTATTGTTCATTGTCAATTTAATATCAATTGTGTTAAAGTTATATGTTTATTGTGCAATAGCGATGAAATATAACAATTATTAAATACAAATTAATAATTTAAATTTATTTAAAGTATTTAGAAATCTATTGTTGTATGTGTGTAATATATCTGAATGTTAGATATTTGAATAAGCAATATATCAATTAAAACGCTATCAACTCATTTTCTATTTTTAAATATAATAAAAATTGTTTAAGTAAAATGTAAAACAATTTTTTTATAATTTCAATCATTGAAGAAAATTATGTATATTGGCCGTTACCTTTTACAAATTTGGCTAGCTTAAAGTCGAAATAATAAATAATATCAAGAGTAAATATTATTATTGTACTATTTACATCTGAATTTTAATTAAGATTTCTATTAAATTATATGAAATTATTTTCAATTAATTCAATTAGATAGTTAAATATGTCTAAATTAATTAAATTAAAACCCCACCATTGATAAAATCTTACCTATAATCTGATTTTCTAAAATCTGGGCTGCGTTTGAATTCGAAACTTGCTTTTCTGTTACCTAAGGACTTTTCCAATCTGCGTTCACCACCTATTCTGTCTAGCGACATTTTTCGAAAGTTTGGCGACGATAATTTTCGGAAATCATGAGGTGAGGTTTTGGATATCAATTCCCTTGACATAAGATCTTCTAAAATCTTCATGTCAACAGAGTTTCTTTTTCTCGCTACGAAGTCATCAGGATATCTAATACTGTAAGTACCTATGAAGTAATAATTTGAATGTCTGATAAAATATCGTAGATTATTCAATGATTGGTAATGCTATTTATCATTTACGATTTTTATCAAGTGCAATCATTCAATATTGTAACAAAATGTAATTGTCTTTATATTTTATTCTTGAATTTTCATGTAAAACTTAAGCGAATAAGGTATTATAATGATTAAATTAAATTATTAAAGTTAATATTGAATTATTATTTGATAGGTCATACTTGGAGTTCTTATTTTCATAAATATTTAAGTGAAAGTAAATTACTACATTACGTTATATTATATATACATTACATTGAACTAATCAAACTAATAAAATAAATGATGTTGTTTAAATATCGATTTATAAAAACATATTTATAAATAATTATATATATATATATATATATATAATTTTTATGTTTTTATAATTTTTTTATTTTTTACTTAAAATATTGTCAATGACTTAATAATAAATTTTCTCAATAATAAATCTTAATTATTAATGCTCTTAATTAATGCTCGTAGATTTTTGGAAGGATAAATCTTGATAATGATTACGTCTGTAAGTATATTTTAAACCTGGGAGCTTAGGAGAGAAAGATCGATCTTGTCCTGTAATCTTATGAGTCTCTTCCATATCTTCCGCATCCTCGATCTTCGTTTGACGTGCTAACTGATGGCGCCTCGCTGTATCAGATCGATCCTTAACCTTTAATGTGATTGGACCTTTATTTGGAATGTGCAAATCCATTGCCATTGATGTTTGACTTCCATTCAGTCTTTGTAGTTCTAAGTTTTCACGACTTAGCTAGAAGAATATAATATGGGGCTTATATGGGCATATTAAGACACTAATTATTGTAATGATTCAACACAATCTTAATATTTTAATATTCATCATGTTCATTTTAATTCACTTCTGTTTGTAATTGTTAACACCACCTATTAATACGATTCTTCATTCAATAAATGAATTAATTTTAAAAGAGATAATGTTAGCTTCTTAATGCCATGGCCATAAGAACTAGGCTCTTTCAATCGTAGCACATATGTAATTCTACTGATTATCAAATTGAGAGTTTTCTTACCAATTGTGGATTATAACTGGGATTGTCCACCGAGACTGCATGCCGCTTCAGGAGCTCAGGATTGAGCAGCGCGCAACCTCCAGCTCCGTGACCCTGTCTGATGACCCTACGCTTCGGCGACTTCTTCTCGACGAGACTTGGCGCACTGGGGCTCTTCTTCATTGGACTAGCCAAGCCCTTATCCTGGAGAGTTTTTGAGAACTGGACAAATTCGGCGGTGAGCTGGCGTCGAGAGGCATCACGGAGACTCGGGCTAGGGCTACGGTTAACACGGAAGAGTCCTAATTGATGGTCCCATTTGCTCGTTTGGCTCGACGTCGACTTCCGATTGCGTTGGCTCTTCGTCGTTTTCAGACTCGAAGCCTGGCTGAAGCGAAATCGCGCAGGAACGACTTTTGCCGCGCTGTCGCGTGCTTCGAACGTCATAACACATGCTGCGACAACAATGAAACCTGTGGATCACACAATCGCTCGTAATAATCACTTGGACTGGATCACCAGGACTTATTGAGATACGAGTGATGATTATTTATCGTTCGTATCCCTATTTCGTATTATGATTTCGGTTAGCATTACAAGATTCATACTGTTGTAGTTTTTAATGATAGAAAAACTGCGTTAAATAAATTTATTTGGAATTGGTGTGAATTAACTGGAGTTAAATAATTAAATTTATCGCACTTTAAACCGAACTGCTAAATTACCTTCAAGTTTATCAGCTTTAAAGTAATCGGCAGTCGCGTTTGCATAAAATCAACATTTTTAAACAGACTGTGAATTAGTAAATATTTACATATTATTTGTTACATGAATTCTATTATCTCGGGCTTAATTTCATTAATTTCAAAGCAATAATTGAACGACACATATTTTTTTTTAATGAAAATTATTCACATACTCGGAAATTTTTTAAATTCTCATCTGTCCAGTATAAAATATAAATAATATTATTTATATATTCGGATTGAATAAAATGAGGATAAAAAAACATTTTATTATCTATAAGACTAAAAGTTTACTGTTATTTCTTTATAAATTTTTTAATCATTTTAATATTATAATTCTTACATTAAATATTCGATCAATGTAATATGTATTTCACTTCATTTTTATTCACATGGCTGATCAAATCCACTTGTTATAAAATTACTTAAGTGCTAGTTCTTCATTACCAACGTAAGTATATGAGTAATAGACATTCGTTGATCTATAAAAGCAAATGTTTATGAAAGCTTGTGTATGAAAGACAAGATTCACTCATTTAACACTCAGCCATATCATTTATAGAATAGTATTATTATAAAGTAAGATATATATCGTGGAACAATTGGCTTATATCACTATTTAAGTTTTCTATATTGTCGAATTTACAATTATAAAATATTAATAAATGATTAATTGCATACTCTTTAAATCAAATGAAAATTTTAGTATATAAAATAGTCATAAACTAAATATTGGCAGTTTAATTAAAAAAAAGGAGAAAATTAGTTTAGTTGCACGCAACGTAAAATAGACATTATTGAAGAATATAGAGAAGTTGATGGGCCAATTGCCGATAAATCAGAGCTCTGTTTTATATTGCTTTCTTATTTTACTACGCATTTGCTGTTTAACATTAAATATAATTTCTTCCAATATTTTCTATTTGTAATGCACTTATTTTTGCACTTTCTTTTGCTAATATTATCGTGATAAACAAACGAAAACAAAAAAAAAAAAACAAAAAAAACAAAAAATGCTTAAGAAACTTGAAAAATTTATAAAAATTAAAATAAATACACCTTATGTGATGACAATTAATGTAGTAGATAATGTAAATTCCTACTATCGGCAAATATTTTTTTTTCCGTGGGATAATATTCATTTATTATAAATTTTATTAATAATTTTCAATTTAATTTTCCAATTTATTTCTAATAATTTTCATTTGTTTTTAATGTCACACTACCTTTCGAAGAATACCTAAAATAATAAGAAAGTATTAAATTGCACGCAGAGAGATTAATTAAATTAAATTAAAAGGATATTTTAAATACGACAATTTTAAATAAAAAAATATAATAAATAAATAATAAATGACTCAGAGATGTAGGTACGGCCAGTAACACAATATGCCTCATGAGCCTCCATAGCTCAGGGGTTAGAGCACTGGTCTTGTAAACCAGGGGTCGAGAGTTCAAATCTCTCTGGGGGCAGATTTTTTTTAATTTTTTTTTGTTCATCTTAACTTTCACATTGACTGTTTATCACATTGTTTATCAATATGGCTATTATATTGTTTGTTTATTTTATTGTTTATAAGTTTATTGTGAATCAGTTCTCACAATAGCATACACAACCATTATTACGCGTATTACATAGGTTTAGACTCAGAGTAAATCAGAGCTGCAAAGCGCACGCGCGCACATCACCAACTCATGCGTAAGTATCCCGGCCTACTTTTGCAAGGATGTTTTTCAATAAATTCCACCGATCAAAGAGCGTATTGCCTATAATTTAAAATCTTTACATATCCGTCAGTTCGGATTTTTTCTAAATTTAATTGCAGAAATAGCTTTTTGAATATTTCAAAATTGATCATGTGCTTGTTATCTCCATTAGTTTGTGAGAAAAGAAAAGCCAAATGTTTTCCATTTATGTTTATATATAATAATTTTCACTTTTCCCTGATACAATAGGCAATTTCGTTTATAGTATGTATAGTTCGTGTATATTGGCTCTTTATATTTTTGCTTGTATCAGCACAAATCAGAAGGAATTGATTTTATGGGAAAATAATTTTGTTTCTGCTATTTATCAAATAGCAAATATAATTTAATATGATTTCATTGTTTACGGAATGAAAATGGCTAAAGTACACTTAAAATGCCGTGTATTTTAGATCTGCGTATGTTTAAAATCTCATTTTTTTTGTCAATAAGTCAAATATGTACACTGACATATCAGATATTTCGTTAGGATTATTATTTCAATAAAAAATGTTAGCTATTGCTGTTCAAATTAGAATGCCTAGTATATTTCCGTCATTATAAATTCTCAATTATTCTATTATTATTATTTTTTTTTTTAATAATTTCCTTAGCCGAGATTGAAATGGGTTCATTAAATGAAAAATTTTTTACCTCCAACTCCCATGACTATAGGTCCAGCGTAACTGAGGTTGTTAAGATGAAAGCCTCTTGATTCATTTTTCACTCTTATTGTAAGATTACCTCGAATTTCTTGAGCAACGGATAATTGATCTGCATAATAACCTATTTAATGGCAGACGTTAAAGAAATATCGATCACTTTAATAAAAAAGGACAAATTTTTTTTATCAATTATCATTTATTACAAGAATTTCCATCAATGATTGATCGTATTATCAAAAATCATAAGAAATTTCTTTTAAATCTCTTTTAAATAATAAAAATTTGTTAAATAACAAATTTCGATAATGACATTGTAGTTGATAAACGTACAAATAAATAAACAGCGTAATCAATTTCTTATCTATGTATTCAAAAGTAAAGAACTTTACGAACAAAGAATTTAAAATTCATTATTTGTATAAAACTTCATAATAGGGAACAAGTATCTCTAGATAAAAATTCAAATACAAACACTTTATTAATGATATAATGATAAATTATGATATATATATATATATATATATATATATATATATGATAATTTATATTTCAATTCGTTCCAATTTCTTTTATAAAAATTTTAATGAAAAAATGTATAAAAAATACACGCGCCCACACGCAAACACATGTACTATCGAAAATGGAAAAATTATTAGCTCATTACATTTTTTTTTTTTTTTTTTTAACATAAAACCTTAGTATTTCATTGCAACGTCATTATTAAAATATCCTATAAATCGGAGAAGATCTATCCTATAGCATCAAATATTCGTAATCGTATTTTCAAAACGTAATTACTAATCGCGCTTTGTTTCAGTACATATAAATATCTAAAAATTCTAATATTTACCTATAGTAGCCATGCAAGCTCCTAAAAGCATTAGAAGAAGCCCTATGCCGAGTGCCTTGCAGGCGTGCCACAAGCAGCGCGTCGTCACCTTACCCCTCACCACCTGTACCATTTAATTGCCTTGCATTAGTAGTGTCTGTCATTATGTCAAGCTTTGGTTAGATAAAAATAGTAAGTATTGAATTTTTTTATAGTTATTAATTTTTTTACAATCGAGTATCTTACATTGATTATAAACACATGTGATTATTATTGAAAATTAGGTATTAGGTTACATGAGAAATAGGTCTTTAACAACCAATATTTATAATAAAATATCGTATTTAAATTTTCTATTTTATCATGATTTTTATATAAATGTATTTTAATTCTTTTAACATTCACAATGTTGTACGTTCGCAACGTTGACGGCTTTTATATAATGAAATGCCTTTTATTTTTTAAAAATAATTTCACATCTATCGGTTATAGATATTTTTCATTAGTGTTAGTTATACGGTATATAAATATTAAAGAATATAAATTTTTAATAACGAAACCAAAAGAATCTTAAAAATACAAATATAAAATGTACAACGATAAAATCCATAATAAAATCTAAATTTACTTTAAAAAAAATATAATTTTAATAGTCTTAAATTTAATCCAAGTAATCACTTATCAGTTGTTCGAGATCTATTGCAATTCAATAAAAAATTGTAGGTTGAAGTCCTTTTTCGTGAAGAATTATTTGCTACTTATTTAATTATTTCAATTGCATTTCTTGTAATATAATCAAATGTTAGCGCAAATTCAATTGTTGATGTATATGTATATATATATATATATATGTATATATATATATGATTATGTATGTTTCATAGCGTTTAATAATGAAAAATTGAACTCTATCATGTTATTAAAGGGATACACGAACTTTTAGAATTGATGATATATAAATAAAGGAAACTATTTTATTACTATAAATTTATAAAAGTCAAGGGGGTAACTCTAAGCGTATGCTTATAATTAATTTACCTTTTTATTTGAATACAAAGTTGATTTATTCTAAATTTATATAAAAATCGAGATCTGTATTATACAAAGACAAAATTATGGCAATTATATATATAGATAATGTTATTGTTATACATTTTGGCAATTTAAAAATTAATGCACATATTTAGAACATAAAGTTATAGAAAATAGTAATATATAATTATTAGGAAAATGTATCTCTTACAACGGAATTAAATAATAATTTTAATCGAAAAGAATAATTTAATTGAAAAATTAAGCCTACCAACAGTTAACGTGAAACTTGTTTAATACAAATATTAGAAAATCATAAAAAAAAAAAAAAAAAAAAAAAAAATTGATTATATTTTTTTTTTAATTTTCTTATTAAATTTATCTCTTTTATTATATATTTAATATAAAACTTAAAAAACAATATAGTTAAAAGTTTATGATGAATAGTAAAAATTAATTATTACTCGTCTTATAAAAACATATAGGTAAAATAATATTGGAAGATGACAATTTAATCTGAAGAATTTTTAAAAAAAATTTTAAATTATATTTAATCAATTATAGTTTTAAAAGTTAGCTTGAGATTCATTTCCCCAAGATATGATTAAAGTTCTAATTTGAAATATTTAAAAATAATAAATGGATATATTTTACTTTACACTTATTTGGTTATAATCATCGTTGAATAATATAAATTCTATTGCGTGAAAAGAGTCTAGAAAAATATTTTTCATACATTTGCATTATATAATAAAAGAAGATAATAATAGAAAACAAATAATGCACAAAAGTATTGATAGGGGGGTAGCATTATATCTACTATCTTGAAATATAAGATTAGTTGAGGACTATGAATTGAGTAGAAAATTAAATACAATAACAAAGTAATATAATTATGAGTTTCAATTTAAAATAGAATAGTAAAAAGTATATACGTATAATAAAAAATTAAATATAAAATATATTAGTAAATACATAAAATCTAAGTGATGCAAAGTTGATAAAATTACCATTGTATTAAGGTTACAATGGATTTTTTCAATTAAACAAGTTCAATAAGTATGTTCTGATAATTTATTGGACATATTGATTATTTCAGGAATTTCATGCACATTTCAAAATTAAAAATAAAATTAAAATATTAATTTTTTAATATCCGTGTATTAAATGTATTTCGTTTTTTAAATATTGAAAATACTAGGCAAATTAATTAAAAATTAATTTTACTTTAGTTACTTTTTATTATAACAGTGGGATTTACTATTTTTATATATAAGTTCAATAGCGTTTAATACTTATGATTATTTAAAATTTTTGAAATAAATATTCAAATAGATAATTTTTAGCGTAATATAATTCAGAGTGTAATATATATTTAATACTTGCTGTATATTATCATAGATATTTAATTATAATAATGTTATTTTTTATGTAATTTTTTAATAATTTTTGCGATTTAAAATCTTATTGATATTATTATGGAGAAGTTGAAAAGTTTAAAAATTTTGCCACTTTCTTACATTCTTATCTATCATATTATATAAATAACTAGTCTATATTAACACACGTTGTTTTAGTATTTTTACTTTTATTTTATTTCATTCGAAAAATTTAGGTCAAATTATGTCGAATCTGATTGAAAATATTATTGTTCGGATGAGACGCTGATGATATACATAAAACAACTTGTTTGTAATAAACTAATATATTTGCTTGTATATAGACGATTATATTCCAACCATTCCTGAGATAACTTTTCATTTATAACGAGAAATGCATAAATAGTGATCTTTTAAAGTAAATTATTGATGATCATGTAAAATTTTAATGAATCATCAAGACGAATACGCTTTTGTAATGCCCTCTTTTCTAGTCTGTCAATATTTTAAACACGTGTTACAGTAAAATAAGGTTATGGATTGTTTTGGGTTTTCGATTGATTTATTTGAACAATTGTTTCTCTACTTTTTATCGATCATACCTGGATATTCCAGTGCGCTCCTGGAGCGTACGTCCGTCTTTGCGTTCCCTGCCATTGGAGGCTACCCTGGGGCATCCTGCGGTTTCAGCGCTGCAAAAAACATTTTATATGTTTAGTCATGCGATTCACTTCATGAAACTAGTCTTTCCTTTACGATTGTTCCTCACTATTTCTACCTTTATATATATATATATATATCTCCCCCCCTCTCTCGCTCTGTCTTTCTCTGCCTCTCCCTTTTTCTTAGTTTTTTCTTTTTTCGTTTTAGATATGTCTTATTTGCTGGTTTACAGTTATAAGCATCTTAAGAGTATGTGCATCTATATAAAATCTTAGACATTACGAATAAGATTAGATTTCAAAAACATTATTGCCTTCTTTAATTATATATTTAAGTAATAAATGTACGAAAATTTAGCAATTAAATATGTATGCATCGGCCTGTGTAAATAGGTGTATTTCATATTAAAATTGGTAATTAGTAAAATTGCTATGATTATATACTATTTCAGATATATGCATGCAGCATAGTATATACAATTTCAATTTTATGCAAAAATATATAAAAATTATGTTATAAATGAAATAAATACACCTTTTTATTATCATTATAAATTATTCTTCATTCTATACTATTCTATTTATAAAACTGAAATTATTTTAAGTTATTCAACATAAGTAATTAATATTCATTTGTTCTATATATATATATATATATATATATATATATATATATATATATATAGAACGATGAAAAATTAGATTATTTATAATACTTTGATTATAATAGAATTCTATAAGAATTAGAGATGTAATATAAAATGTAAATTTTAGTATCAATTGCGTTTTTAGTAGTTTCTATTTTAAATTGTATGAAAATTTATTTTGTTTATTGTTGTTCGTTCATATTTTTTATTTGAAGTTAATTGGCAAAAAAGCATTGGAAAAAATTTTATAAATTAAAATAAGAATTAAAATAATTTTTTCTATGCATAGAAATAATTGAATCGACATTCAAAAACGATATTGATATATATATATATCAATATATATCATGCATCATATTAGTAATAGTTATATATATGTATATTTTTTTTAATTATAATAAGTAGTATATAAGTTTTTATTCGATTACATAATGATTTTATGTAATGGTAACTTAAAAATGATCGATGTTTTAAGTGTTTAAAGTACTGCCTATACTATATTATAATGTTAATCTATTTATTCTAATTCGGTGAATAATATTTTTCGCGTGGAGATTATTTTGTATGAAGAATAGAATTACACTAACATATTTAAACTACCACTGTATACATTTTCAATGGACTACACTTAAAAAAAAAAGAGAAAAAAAATGAATGTTATAATAACGTTTGGGGAGATACGTTAAAACTATATTCAATAACGTAGTGTTTCAAATAATTATTATTAAATACTGTGAAATAAACTATTATTCTTTCACTTTTAAACAATAGCTTTGGTAAAAATAGATATAAAATAACATTTTTATTACAACAATATTATTTGCAATTAAATATTTTCATTAAATTTAATTCGTGTAATTAGGAAAAAAAAAACAAAACGATAATTATAGTACCAAATTACTTTGCACTTTAAAAGAATTATTTGATCAATTTTTTTTTATTATTTGAAATATTCAAAAAGAAATATTCACAGAATAATTGATAAGATAGTCAATAATTACTGATATTTATAATTATTCAACTCCAAACATAAAAGTATTTTCAATCATTTACGTACTAATTATAAAAGTTTCCTTCATTTAATTAATTTTACTTAAAAGTAAAAATCTCATCATATTATTTGCTCTCTATGTTCTTTATATTAAAAAGGTATTAGTGGTCTTGGCAAGCAGAATTTAATTGAAAAGTCAACTAAAACTCTCAAAGAGTATTTCATTATACATGGCGGCTCTTGGTTCATACAACAACATGAACGCGCGACTTTTCTCTAATTGCTGCCCGCAGGCAGCGGTGAAATTTTAATGCAAATCTTTTCTTCTTCGAGTAGCACTGCAGCTGTCTTTTATCTCAACTTTACTGACTCTTCATCCGGTTTTCCTAGACTGTAAAACTTTCCATTTTTTGTCCTTTCCCTTTGTTGTGCAGCAAAAGCAGCAAGCGAATGCGTACTTGCAATAACTTTTGCACTTGCAACTGTGAAACGAACATATAAACGATTCGTGGATATAAATTTATGTTCAACCGCTTTATATTATGTCTTGGCAATATGTTTTTTATCGCTAAACGTTCGAGCAATTATTATTCTAAGGCAAATGTGATTTTCAAGAATTTTTAAAACACAGTTGGACAATTAGTATACCTCAAACAATCGCTAAGCGGATAGTGCCCGTGTAATATTATATAAATTTTTTGCTCATAATAAATATATACGATTATTCCATTTTTACTTATACTCGCGATAAGAATTTTATCATAGTGAATAATATAGTATAGTGACAATAATAAGTCTTAACAATGTTAAGAGTCTTCACAGATTATCTCTATATTAATGTACAAACAAGATTTTCTTTTCAATAAACTATTTAACAACACAATAAACAATCTAATAAACAATCTAGTAAAAGATTATAATAAGTATGATAGTACAACTGCTTTTAGTATTATCTTAACAGTCAGGATCGAATTTATAAGAAAGTATTAATATAAGTAAGCAATTTCAAGTAATTAATAAATAATATAATTGTGATAATATATAAAGTGTAAATGAAGATCTAGTAATAGTTCATTTATAACTTTAATAAGATAAATTGCTTAAGCAACGGAAAACCTTCTCATTATACTTTCATAATTGTTGAAAAGTTTTGAAAACTGATAATGATGAATATTACCATCTGTGCATCCGATGATGAAATTAATTTTTAAAAACATTGTTACTCTATCCATATTACATACATCGACGCATTGTTCCTATTCAGAATGATAAAATGTATGTGATTAGAATTCTTTTCAAAATATCTCTTACAATAGATTGTGAGAAAATCTAGAAATATATTAATACTTCACGTCTGCTAATGTAAGTATATCAAATGAATATAAAGTACTGTTTAGTCACGGTGAATGCCAAAATCTATTTTTCTCCAGTAATGAATGGAGTTTAGAAGGTGAAAAAAAAGTGATAGAAATGTAAAAAGATGTTTTAAAAACAATATTTTATAATTCATAGTAAATGATATATTGTATAAGTGCAGTAAAATTCAGTAACTCAAGTCATATATAACAATTGTAATTCAATATTTTACAGAACTACACAGGTATTTATTTTATTTATATATTAAGTATTAATAACGATCATTCTGTTCTGAAAATTTGAATTTTAAAATTTCTTATATAAAGGAAAGTCACTTGTCTATTTCAAATACAAAAAATAACTGAAATAATTCAAGGATTCTGCAACTCGAATAAATTATTTATTGTTACCTTTGAAAAATATACAGTGCTCTAAAGATACTTCGGTAGATATTATTAATCGAATTAAATTGTCATGAGTTTATTATTGTGAAAGTTTTTTGCTTTCATTTAAAAATCATGTATTGAATGAAAAATTATAAAAAAAATAAATATACTATAGATATAAAATTTATTATAATCATAAAGTGATAATGAAAATGTTACATACAAATTCGAGAAAGTACAAACTTGATAATGTGGGTGAGTAATTATTACATTAGTACTGAAATTGTTATTTTAAAATTCATTACTTATTCAACATTTATAAATGAATTTCAAACATATTTATCGATTTACAACATAATTTACAATAAAATTTGTTTCCATTAATTATCTAATAAGAGTCGAACATTTATTAGTAATTAATATAATATTATTTTCATTTTATAGATAAATTTATAACGAAATTCTAACAATAGTATTTGTAGGGCCACAAAACTTTTATAAACTTTATTAAAAGACCTTATTAAAACTATTGTTAAACACGAAGTTTACGAAATTATATATGATTAATCTTCTTATTAAATACCTTAAATTTAATTGAAAATAATTTCATTCATTATAATACTCACTCTACATTATTTTTAATGCTATCTCATTTATTGTTAATTAATTGTATTTCAATGAATAAATAGCAAAATTTAAATTTCAGAATTTATTTGAAAATGACAATTGCAGAGTATTTGATTAGTTAGTTCTATTGATTTTACGTTGCTAATCAATTACAAGCGCTGTGATTTTTTACACACGTACAGCACATTTGATATGTTACATATTTTTTAAGCGCTTCGATTTTTTTCTTTTTTTTTATGTTTCAATTGTATTCTGATGGAAGCGACAAGAATATTGATTTTAATTTAAACATTAGCATATCGAAACTTACCAAGTCTATAAGAAAAGTAAAATCATTATATTCAGAAATCCCATACATCAAGGTATAAAGTCAGATAGCAAATTTAATATTTTTACTATATTTTATAAAACTTTATAGTTACTTTAGTAATTCAATACATTTGAAGACTACAGTATTAAAAATTTATTTTATATAATATGTTTGGTTCCATGGCTGTTTAATGAAATTAATTGATTAAAATGCAATAAATTAAATCTTTTTAAAAATTTTAAAAATTATATCGAAGTATATCAAATTAAACATATAAATTACATATATATATATATATATTTTTATTACACAATATTATTAATTAATTTATTTAATTATAAACAAATTAAAGAAATTTCATATTCCCTTTTTATGCTGTTTTAATTATTACAATATTTAAAAATGTTAATCTATACTTTGACAATTTATTGATATTACTGAAATTCAATGTCGATGTTTAATTCATTTAGTTCTTTATTTTTCAATAATTAAAACAAAAAATACTATAATCTTATATAAAATATATTATAAAAACAGTTAAAGAAAAAAGAATTATATTTTTCCTACACTGCACTTAGATATTCCATAATAAGTAGGGTTGTTTGTATGACTAAATAATTTTTCAAAACCAAAGTGCTGCGAACAAATTTATCCGATCGTCTTAAATAACTATTATAAAGCTAATCAAGTAATTACGT